GGAAGCTATCACGAAGCTTGTCGCAGCTGATCAGCCGGTCCCTTCGTTGATCATGTTATTGCCAAACCACCCCGCAGGATATTGGTACTAATGTGAATGTTGGTACGACAAGCAAAGCTCGCTTCGAGACTGAACAGGAGAGTGAAATAAATTTCTTTGGCATTACAAAGAGTATTTGCAAGGATGAAACACTAATCCATTCATACTATATGACCAATGAAGAGAGAGAAATCAATTTTTTTGGTAACGCTGTGGGTGGTGCAACGGACTATGACACAATTAGTCAAGCTGTTGGAGACGCATATTACAAGAGTCGCACTGAAATGCTTAGCTTGGAGTTGATTCTAGCGCCACCCACTCCATATGCGGGAGTAGTGAATTTAGATTTGACTTTGGCGCCGCCCATTGTAGATGAAGGACACTAGTACTTTTTGCTCACTCAAAGCCATGGTAGGAAATTAAGAGATCGAAGAGATCAGCTAGAATAACAGTCCTGACTCTTGAAGAGAGCTACTGAACAAGTACGGAACAACAGTACTGGGGCCTTCCAAGGCTGACGGGGTACAGGGTCAGAGTCTAAAGTGAACTCTGCGCGCTGAATATGAGTCTCAGTTCATTTTGTGCTGCTGTTCACTTGCAGGCTTCAGATATGGAGGCCGACGGTTAAAGTATTATAGTAGTATGCTTTTTTATCTTTTGGGTTCGGATGGTTTGTTTTTGTTCTTTCCTTATGTTCTCGGTACGTATCATGTAAAAATATATATATAGTCATAATTGTGAGTTAATGCCTATACTTTTTGTCACTTTTAATATTTTCTTTTTCTGGGACTTTTATTTTGATTTGATTAGGTAAAGCACCATATAAAAGGCTTGTTTTTTTTGTCTTTTCTCACGGCAAAGTCGTTGTCAACCTCGGTGACCTGCTTTTCTGCATCTCCTTGATCCTTGAACTGATCCGGTGGATTAATCGGATCCAACTCTAATACCAGCTCGCCGGCCGGTAAATACAAACCTTTCAACAAGATATGCAGCTAACTATCTGGCTATTTCATCCTGATTAGTGAGGTTTTTTATACAAGTTTTTTATTGGTATATTTCAGCTGTTTATTTGGCTATTAATTCTGGGTTGCAGCCAGATCTTGTTTTCATCGGGATATACTGCTAGCTAGCCAAGTTCCTAGTTGCTTGCTATATTTGCATAATAGTAATACGTAGTCTTAATGATTCTGGTTTTTCATCTTCTTTGCTCCAAAGCTTGAATATAAATATATATATATATATATATTTCTGAATAAATCTTGCTCCCTTCCAGTTTGAGTTTCCTCATTTCAGGTATATAATTCTTCAGTTCCAAGAAATTTGTGATAGCCTCATTAGAAAATTTATCTGATTTGTCAACACGGTACAAGTGGTTAACCCAAAAACATTTGAGCATCTTTTGTTTGTTGCCAATCACTTTCTTTCAATGAGGTGGGCATACAGGTTTTCCTGTTTAAAATCTCAATCTGTTATTTTTCCTTTTCTTTTGATTTTTTTATAGTTTATTTAATTTTTTATCTTCTTAAACGGATTGATCAGTTAGTGCATCTGTTTATAATTAGCAAATGCTAATTATCCTTGTGGTATGTTAGTAATTTTTTCATAAGTAGGCAACTGAATCTAGTAGATTTGTAGAATAAATAATGCATGCTTTCTTTTTTTGTTTTAATAAATTTGCTTTATCATTTACTCTTAAACTTGAAAGGCATCAATAGCTATGACTAATTGTGGAAAATAAGGGCAATCCTCAATCCAATACATTCCTCCATTAATCTGTATTTCTTGCTTTGCTAATCTATGAGCTGTTTCATCCAAAAGTGTCCGATGTAATGTATTATGCATGACTTGAATTCTGCAAGTTTAACTCTTGCTTTTTCTATAATTAGACCAATGAGACGCATATAGGAGAAACATATCTTGTAATAGAAGAAAAGTTTTATAAGGTTCTATAGGTGAAGTTTTTTTTAAATGATTTAATAAAAAAATTAATAAAAATTTTAAACCAATAAATTAATAGAATTTAATGTGAAAATTAATAATATGTAAAAAAATTTATTAAAAATGTTGTTTATAATTTAAATTTAATTGATATTTATTCAACAGTAAAAATTTTATAAATATTTTTATTAAAAATGTCTATCTAACAATATATATCAAAATTTATCAAAAATTTTTAAAATTTACATATTTGATCTATGTAATGAAATCTTTTAATTATTGATTTTTATTTTTGATTTCGATTTTGATTTAATTGTTTTTAGTTAAAAATTTCATGAAATTTACTTAAAAAACTTTATCTAAGTTTATTCATTGTAATAAAAGCATGCTTTTCTAGTTTGTATGTTGTTTTAAAGTATTTTAATTGTTGTTTCCATAGAGAGTTAGAGACCATTTATTTTTGAACAATGCTACATGCACTAAATTATATTGTAATCAAATGATACACTCATACATCTAATTTTATTTCAAAGATTTAAGTAAAAAATACTAAAAGAGAAAACAATAATTGGCAAATTTCTCCTTCACATCACATTAGTTTAAGTTGGAAGAAATTACTAAAATTGTGAAATATTGCGTTAACTTTCATGCAAGATGGAAGGTACGTATGATTGAATTTAGAGTCAATTTGAATTGATGATGAGATTAAAAATAATAATAAAAGTTATTATAATTGTGATTGAAACAAATTTTATTGTAATTGCAATTGAAAAAAAAATTCTTAAAAAAATTTATATTAAATAAATCTCATTGAGGTTGATATTTAAATTTAACTGATGATACGAGGAGTTTAATTACAGCATCCAAACCCTCCACTCAGTTGATACATATTGTATTGCAAGTACATGAATGAAATTAAACACAAGAGAAGGTTGATTGGCAAAAGGTTAATTGGTTTAAATACCATATCTCCAGACATACTGTTATTTCATGGATGGCCACTCTTGACAAACTGCCTATCAAACAAAAACTATGTAGGCATCCATAGTAATCTCAAGTGCATGTTTTGTCACGATATGAAGTTGAATCCAAAGACCATTTATTCTTCACCTGTACGTTTATTAACCAAATTTAGTTATAAGTGTTATAGCCATGTGGGATCAAAAGGCAAGTGATTAACTAGCATCTGAAACTTGTTTGGAATGGTTTTATTTATAGAGTCTAGATTAAAAAAAAAAAGGAGTATTTGAAAGCAGACGTGTATTACAACAACAATCTTGCAATTCATAAAGGATGTTATTCATTGTAAGCTTCAAGGAATTTAACATCTAGTTCATAATAAAAAACGAAAACGTTACCAAATGACTTGTATTGCTTTTATGAATAAAATCACATTTATTTATCTAAATAAAACTAAAATCTTTAATTTAATTTATTATAAACATGAATAAATCTCAAGTGCAATAGAAAAATCACAACCTAAGCTTACAATTAGTTCATATACTTAATTATCAATGGACACATAGGTTTCAAAAAATTTACTCAAATTTACATTAGTAGGAATTTATTAGAATATATAATATTGAAAAGATTTCTCGTTAGAGATTATTAAATTTCAAGTCTAATCAGTATAAACAAACTAATACAATAACAATTTTTTTGATTAATCAAAACCATAGTTTATACTTTCTTTTTCAATTGTTTTTTTTACCATATGAAGTGAAAAAAATATTATATATATATATAGAAACTCTCAAGTTGCTTATACTCTTTTGACCTTCGTATATCGACCGCCGTAAGCAACCAACGGCACCCTAAAGCACAAACCAACCTAAAACCAAAGCCAACCTTTAATTTAATTTATTTATTATTCGTGGCTTAATCGCGCGATCGGCGTTCGTAAAACCCAAAAAACCATTACCTCTCGCTAGTCACCGCTCATCACCCAATTTGTCAACCTCTAGTTTGAAACTCTTTTAATATGTCGGCTTTGAAGGCGACGAAAACGACGGCATGCCTGGTGATGGGGAAGCCGAGCCTTTGATCAGTTTTATAAAATGATGTGCTGCAGGTATCTTGATCACGAACATGAACCACACTGCACCACCCACAGTCAAACCGAGATTGAAACGCTTAAGTATTGTTGTCTCCTCTTTGGCACCGTCACTTATGAAACTAGCTTGGCTGTTGTTGCTATTGACGAGTTCATCAGCAGAAAGGCTTTGCTTGACAGAAAACATAGTGGGTTTTGACAAAATAAATTTGTTTGCGTGAGTAATCCTTTTAAGTTCAGCTACCATATTTATGCATTGGAGAGTCAAGATGAGGCACTTCAGTGGATAGACAAAATTTCTTTAGCCGTTTAAGTGATATTAAATAAATTGTTTCACTAAATAAAAAAGTGACTAATTCATTAAAAAACAAATAGTGACTGGAAATCGGTGAAATGGATATGAAAACGACTGGGATATTTTGCATGCCTGGGGCGTGCCCAATCAAAACCCACCTTAACTGTGTAATTTGAAAAAGATTATCGTCCAATGGTTAAGGCCTTCAACAAAACTACCAAAGGACCATCTCTGTTTTTTTATCATGTTTGGCCTTTTCCAGCTACGTTGCCTACTATTTTTGTCTTCTCACTGAAAATTAAACCGTATTGCTTTAAAGAATCCAATTGATTCAAGCAAAATGTAAAGGAAATTGTATTGCAAAGCATTATTTTTTTTAATGTCATGAATTATATTTAAATTATAATGAAATATACAATATAATATTTAAACTTTAAAAATATCTGATTTAATACTTAAATTATAAATATATTAATTAATGTGATATTTAAAAAATAATTTATCTATCATATATCATCATTTATAATTAACACATTAAAATTTAATACCACATTAATTACAAATTTATAATTTAAATATCAAATTTTAAAATTTAAATATTATATTAAATATTTCATTATAATTTATATAATAAATCATTCGTAATATATATAATATATATATATATATATTTCTTTCAATAACAACCGGAAATCAAATCAGGCCTGAACTTAACACCGCTTAGCTGGGCCTCTTCAGACTTGTGCATAGGCCTTAGGTTTGCTTATGGAAAAACTTAAATAAAGACTTGAGCTTCATCCCAAAAATTTACAAACTTGTGCGTAGGCCTTAATTCTACTTTCTAGCCCGCTTCTTTTTTCCCTTAATCGGTCAAAAATAATTTTCATCTATATTCTTGTAATTGAATTGAATTATCGAATTATTACTTGCTACGTAACAATGGCATCCGACTAAAGTATAAAAAACTATACACCAGGATTTCACTGCTCGTACAAGTTTTACGAGCCTAACCAGAAATGCTTTATTTGAGAACCATATTGTACCCAAATCATAGAAGTTGAACGGCTGCAATTGCTGGAATTTTCTCCCGCAACTTTTGTGTTACAGCAACTCTAACAGTCATGACCCCTGCTGCAGGACCCGTGATTCGAATTTTCACTATTGGCTCCTCAATGGCAACTAATTCAAGAGATCCACCCGCTGCCCCAACCAGGTACGGCCTAATTTCTTCAAGTACCTGACATAACATATAAGTTCACAAAAAGTTAACATTTATGCCTAATTTCTTCAACTACCTGCCATGATACACAATGCATGAAATTTATATTTAATACCAATGATTAAACCCAACAAAGTGAGAAAAGACACCCAGCAAAGTTTACAGAAAGAGTACCAAATGCCTATAAATAGAAGCCAAAACAGTTGAATCAACAATCAAAATAATGCTGTACTTTGATTAAGGATTAAGCCAAATGAAAGGAACGAGAAAATTAAACAAGGCGGTACAAACTCTATCATCCATGGATATCTAACTTCTCATCAAAGCACTTAAGGTTTTGATTTCGACATCTAATTTGATTTCAACAACAGAAACAAAGGTTAAGCAGCCGAGACTTAACTAGTAAAGAAACATAAGTAGAACCACTAAATAAACCAGACATACGGATATACCCAGTTACAATCATTTAGGTAAAATGGCGAATGCCCAATTCAAGCAATATATCAGGGACAGATAGGTGTTAAACTTTAAATAAGCGATCATCAACAGTTAGCCTAAAAAGTAGAAATAAAGTTACTAATTTTGTGAAGATGAACAATACTAGGGTAATAATATTCAGGAACCCATGAAAAGTTGGAATCAGGAAAAAATAAAATTGAAAAGAATGTTGACTTGGCTGACATAGTGTGATTAATTAATCTACATAAATTATTGATATATGATGGTTAGATTTAAAAAGATATAATAAGGTAGAAAATAAACATATTTTTCATGTTTGGCAACTTAATGGAAGAAATGAAAATTTGTTTGCCTAGGGATTTGTAATCATTACTGCAAAGTGTTGCTTAGTTTCTTCCAATGGTACTCCTTCCCTTACAACTCTAACAACTTATGGATGGATTAGAAACTTGTTCTCAAGACACTAATATTCTTTCGTCTTCAACACTAAAACCTTAGGTGTTATCCCCCAACCAGAAGAAGGAGGGGAAACGTTATTATCAAAGAATTCAAACAAATCTGGAACTATGGGGCTTATTTCCATGTCTACATCCACAAATCCTCAAGATTAATTTCCTAGCCTGTTGGTTTCATTGATTTAGCTTGTATTCAGAAAAACAACAGATCCCTTATTTCATCATATTGGCTTACTCTCTCAATTTTTTTTTCCTAGTTAGTGAAAAGTTAAAATATAAAGCAAAAGGCAGCGCTCCTTTATATGCTAAGAATGCAAGGAGGACATAAATTTTAAGAGTTAATAAGGCTGTCGTGTAATTACCTTCTCAATATTTTCTTCATTCAGCTCAAGGCCAGTTTCTTCATCAGTTAATGGTTCCACTGCAACAATTTCAGGTATCTTTTCCATTAAACGTTTCTCAATACCCATCTTCATTGTCATAACAGAACTCGGACATGAGCCACATGCCCCTTGTAGCTTCAGCCACACAACATTACCTTCAATCTCATGTAATGCCACATTCCCCCCATCAGCAATGAGATATGGTCGAACTTCATCCAACACACTCTCAACATTCTCTGCTGTTAGCGGCAACTCCAAGGCTGAATCAGGAGTGGCCACAGCCTTTATAACTGCAAGAAATCAAATCAAGGCAAGCTCCTTAAGATTCAGAACACTTTTCAAAAAGAAATAGGAAGAAGATATTTGGCATCTCTACTTCTCTAAATCAAATCGGCATTTAATTACTCAAAAAATATTAATAAACAATGGGATATGCAGATAAACTAAACATCTAATTCTAGAAAGCAATAAACCGAATTCTTAACATAATCATTAGCAGTATCAAAGGAAGAAGAAATAAATTATAGATAGAGCAATAGCAATCAATTGTATATCGATAAATAAAAGATTGAAAAATAAAAAGAGCCAGCTCCAACTATGCTATTTAGGTCAACAGTGCTAAGATTTCAACATTCAAGCACTTTTTTCTCTAATTAAACAGAGGTAACAGAGTTCAAAATTAACCTAAAATTACAATAAACGAATCGAAACGCACGAAACTGACCTCGCCTACGGGTGAGAGCAGGTGATCGAATCCGCACACAACGCCATGAGCTTCGCCGCGCAGGATTACGCCCTTTTGCGAGCAAGACGCGGGTACCAAAGAAGTTCGAGGGCTGGGCGAATCGGAAATTACCATTAAAATCTTGAAAATTTGAACCAAATTTTAAGAAAAATAAAGGAGAGAGAAACGAACCTTGGTAGTTGTGGGACGACAAGAGGAGGGTTCTAGGGTTTGATGATGGCTCCCGCAGTAATATGTTGGGCTAATAACCACGGCTTGCATTTCCAAATCAAATATATTTGATTTGGACGGATAAAAGAGAAATAATAGCAATCAAAGAAGTATGCGATTGATCACTCTTTCGCTTCTGAACTTCGATTTTCCGTTCTTTCTGATGGATTTCTAGTTGGGCGCGTTTTAGGCTACGTTTGGCTGCAATCTGCGATTGAATTTATCTTGTCGTGATAGGTGATTGTGAGGTGGGGATAATATTTGAAGCTTTTCAGTCCTCGAAGCGCATCCTGACAAAAGCCCTCGGCTAAGCTCTTCAAAATTAAAATATTCCTTTTTATTTTTTTAAATAAAGCAGAAAGAAAACCACACGAATATACCAAAAAAACCGAACAAGAAAAAGAAATGTGAACTTTTGAACTGTGACTGGCCTGAGGGAAAAAAAAAGTTTTCAACTGTGGACATGGGGCGACGGTCGGTGGGCTTCGGCCCTTGTCCAATAAAATGTAGACATTGAGCTAGGGTAATTAAAAAGGGCCTTATTCTTTACTCAATAAGAAATTTTTTTAAAGTCTCTTATTTTTTAAAGGGTTATGCTTTGATAAAGTCTAATTATAACATAAGTCATTATTAATTTATTTAGTATTATTATATGTTATTAATGGAGTTTATCTTTTACCATTTTTCTTATCTTTCTACCTCTTCACTCATGAGTACCCAACCAAATAAAAAATCTCTTAGTGGGATTATCTTTCCACCTTTCAAACAAAAAATGTTTCATTCTTTAAGAATAATATTAATATACACATACTTTCATTGGTTTGATTGTATATTATATTATATTATATATATATATTAAGTATATACTTGTAGTAATGATAGATATGGATTGTCCTTCACAAAAAGAAAACCTAGAACCTCTGATTGCTTTTGAAAATTTTTTTTATTACGTTATGAATGTTGTTTTATGATTTGTTCTTTAATAACATTTACAATGCAATATAAATATTTTAATCACGTATCCAAATGAAGAATTAATAATTCATTATTTTTGCACGTTAGAATTTTTGAACATGAACATATTAATGATGAATTTCTTTATCTACATATTGGACAAAAATACAAGCAACGTCTCAATGTGTTACTCATGAACTCTCTTCTTCTCCTCTCTTCCTCTCTCGCTATATCTTCTCCAGTTTCCATCTCAATACTCACAGTTCTTGGCGTTGTCGCTGCCCTTTTAGCCGCTGCCGCCTCAGCTACAGCCAACTTAGACATATTCCTATGAAGTTCAGCATTAAGTGAAGCCAAGGCAACTTCTGTTTCAGATTTTCTCTTTTTAAGCAACTTCAACTCCGCCTTTGTTTCCTCAAGCTCAGCCTCAAGCTTCTTTAAGGTATCCACAACCCCTTGCTGGTTACTCTCATGATCAATCTTCTTTAAGGCCGTTTTCGAGACTTGGTGAAAACCAGTTAATCTCTTGGCTAGGAGAGCGGCTGTAAGTGTAAGGCTTTGGAGTATACATCTGTCCCACGAGAAGCCCCTCACCAAAGACTGCAACGGCTTCTTTGACACATGGAAAAGGGCGGGTAGTGTCAACGTTGGAGCGATAGTCTTTGGGTGGCTTCGGATACGGAATTGGGGCTTGGGTTTTTATTATTTTTAATTATTTTTTAAATATATTTTAATAATTTCTCTTTTTTTAATTTTTTCCTTAGAACACTAATTTATATTTGTTTGTGATTTTATACTTTAGTAGCGAATGTCTAAAATAGATTTTATTAAAAAATTCACATTATTTTCATTAAATTAAAAAAACAAATATATTAATTATAATTATTTTAAATATCATTTTAGCGAATGCTTAATAATTAACATTTCTCTAATTAAAAAAAAACAATTAACATTTCTCTTGTATATAGTGTATTTTTATTTTATATAAACAATTATAAATTATAAATTTTTATTTGTTATTATTTTTATTTTAATTTCTATTAATATAAGAATAGAAGGGATTATTAGAAACCAAAAGTAAACAATTTTTTTTTTTCAATTTAAGAATTTAGAAATTTATTTTTTAAAAAATACGCATGACCTTAGGCTAAGTTCAAGAAAAAGAAAATATCGGTAAATAAAAAAAATGCCCCTTTTTTTTTGGTTTAAAAAAAAGAACTGCCCCGTTTCACCGACATAAAAAAGTTAAAATATTTTTCAACTGTAAAAATTTGACTTCGTAAAAGGAAGCGTATTATTGACGCGAGGTTTCTTTCTATACCATAGAGATTTCTCTTTCTGTTTGGCCTGTTTTTTTTTTTCTTCTGCCACTCTCAGACTCTGCACTTTCTTAAAGTTTCTTTCAGCGCAAGAAACACACTCTCTTTGGAGATCTTCAATGGCTCCCAAAAAGAAGCCATTGAAGCAAGGCAACAGAAAACCTACTGCATCATCGAAAACCAGCCAAGCGTCAGCGTCGGCTCCGCGCCTCCAGATATCGGCCGAGAACGAGAACCGACTTCGTCGACTCTTACTGAACTCCGGCCATTCCTCCCAATTTCAAGGTGATCCGAATCCGGTCCAAGATTCTCACTCCAAGACCCAAAAAGCAAAAAAACTTAAAGCCGTTTACGAGAAGCTTTCTTGTGAAGGTTTTTCAAACGATCAAATTGAGCTCGCTCTTTCTTCTCTCAAGGTTATATTATTTTGTTTTATTGTACATTCTGCTTATATAATTTAATTATTATTATTTTTTACAAAAAAAATTGTATTTTCTCAATTTTATACTATTATCTTATGAATATATTGACTGAGCAGTTGACATATTATTTTTTTTTTACAAAAAAATTGAATTTATTTTTTTTTCAATTTAATAGTATTTTCTTGTGACTATATTGATTTAGCAGTTGACATAAAAAAATTGAATTTCCTTTTTCAATTGACATCTTATTTTTTTCTTACAAAAAATTTGAATTTTTTTTTTTCAAATTTATCGTATTTTCTTATGAATATATTGATTGAGCAGTTGACATCCTTATATTGAGTAGGATACTGCTACTTTTGAGGCTGCTCTCGATTGGTTATGCTTAAACTTACCTCGTAACGAGCTTCCTTTGAAGTTTACTAGTGGAATTTCTTTGCATTCAGATGGAGGTATGGTTTTCTAATACATTTAACAATTGCCTGGTGTTTCTAGGTAATAATGTTTGTATTACGTGATGTGTCATGTCAGGAGGGCCTGTCAATGTTATATCATTTAAACAAGAAGATTGGACTCCTTCGGTGGATGCTTCGACAAGGATAAAGGAAAACTTAGTGGGACTTTCTGTTAGAACCAAGGGGAGTGCTGATGAGGATTCCGTAAATACATGCCAACCATCTCAAGCAGATTGGATTAGGCAATATATGGAACAACAAGAAGAGGTAAGCGAACAGAATGAACTGTTTCTGATATTGTTTTTGATGGTCTTTGCTGTTTGGATTAAGGATCTATTTAATTGAATGTATTTTGCCATTGTTGATATATATATATATATATTAAATTTGTTTAAAATGGTTTAGCGAATAGTTTATGTCTTCAGGATGAATCCAAAACTTGGGAAGATGAAGCAAGTGATGAGGGTTCTACCAAGGAGGTATTTCAAACTTTTTTTTCTCCTTTCTCTCTGTTTTAGTATATATAAAATAATTAAAGGTGCATGAGTAGAGTAACAAGAGCTCTTTTCTCTATTTGTTTGCCTGTGTGTGTTTGCTGTTTGGCTGTGATGAAGGTAGAGATGTAGTGAATAGTAAAAGGCTTGTGCAAATTTCTTTGCATGGATTCAAAAGGAGAGCCCTTTGGATTTGCTGTACTTTGCATTTTAGTGACAGGGATTAAATTTCTCGTGTGTTCACTTTTTTTGGATGATGGCATGTGTTTACTATATCTTGTTAGGGCATGGAAAACTGGTCTTGATTGCTTAATTTGGTTGTAGAGTCCCACTTGGTGAATAACATTTCAATAATTTTTATTTCTCTTGATGCTGCTTCTAGAATGCATTGTGCACTAGTTTTGTTTCCTTTGTCATTAAATTTTACCCTTTTACATAAGAATGGTAAATGGCTATGTATTTGTAAGTTTAGACTTGAAAATCAACTTCCTCTTTTTTTTCCCCCCTTCAGGATAGATGCTAGATATAAGCTTAGTTACTCCTTTCGACAAGGTTTATTTTCATTCTTATGCTATTTTTAGGTCTCTGGACCAAGGCCTTATGATGTTATTGCGAAAGAATACCATGCAGCACGATTAGAAGCTACAAAAGCTAAAGAAAAGGGGAATAAAAAAGGCCAGGAAAAGGCAGGCAATATAATACGCAAACTCAAGCAGGAGTTGTCTGCTTTAGGTCAACTTTAGTTCCTTCTTTTATTCATGTTAAAAGATTTGTCACTTGATATCTTCGAATGAGTTGTTTCATTTTCTGAACAGGATTATCAGATGATATTTTAGAATCAGATTTTTTGCATGAGCGAGCATCTGCATGTGTGTCTGAGGACATGTTCAATAGTTCCATTCCTGAAGAGCACCCTGAGGTAATATCTTTAGGTGATGAAGAAGGCAATTCAGCAGCCTCTGTTATGTTTTTGGACGAAGCAACATGCAGTGTAAATGATACAGAGTCCTCTAATGAGTTTTCAACCAATTCTATTCCTTCTCTCTTACCTGCTCAAGGAAAAGGTGTATCAGAAAATATGTTAGAAGATGTGGAGATTGGTGATTTCTTCTTAGAGGATACTTCAGTTAATGATGCTTTGCCTCCTGAAGTATTGAAATTGCAGAAGAAAGAAAAGATGAAAGAATTATACAGCGAGAAAAATTTAGAGAAATTGGATGGAATCTGGAAGAAGGTAATATACAAGATGCAATGATCTTGTGAGGTTAATATTACTGAGGGTTGATGGTAACGCATTTTCGGTACTTAGTATGTATTGCCATAACTTGTGGTGTGATGAATGTATAAAGTTATTTAGTATGATTCCTGATTTAATTTTCAATTTCATTATAGTGCCATATTGATCCATTTCCAAACTTCAAATATTTGATTTTTGGTCTTATTATATTTGAATTTGTTGTGACTTCTTTTTTGATGTGATCTAAATAATGACAGGGAGAGCCAAAAAAGATTCCTAAGGCTGTTCTTCATCAATTATGTCAAAGATCAGGGTGGGAGGCTCCAAAATTTAATAAAATGCCTGGGAAAGGTAAAAGTTTCACATATTCTGTTAGTGTGTTGCGTAAATCTAGTGGAAGGGGCAAGAGCAGAAAAGCTGGGGGGCTGGTCACCTTTCAGCTTCCTCATGAACAAGAAGCTTTTGAATTTGCTGAGGTAATTGTTTGTCTTATGCTTTATGCTGATAATTTGAGATACAATGATTAAGAACGTTCAGTGCAATGCTATTGGTGTCTAACAGATTAGAAGATGAACATTTTGAGGAAAGTTCTTAGTTCCTACATTCACTTTGTACATCCTACGAACTTGGCTGCATAACTATCCTGCTATTGTTTAATGTGGATATATACAGATGCTCATATACATGCTTATGCTGCATGCAAGATAACAAATACAAAGCATGTCTTTTCCTTCAAGTTAATGCCATAATGGTAAATTAAAACTTCTACCATGTTTGGTGGTATTTGTTCCTCAAGATTGATCAACCATAGTTTTTAGTTTTTCCTCTTCTAGAACAGTAGCGATGGACTTGAAATATTTTTTACTAGATTGTCTGAGGATTGTCAGCATTTTTTTTATCGGATATAGGGTAGGTACTGAAAACTAGTTTAATTTCACCCTTCTTTAATATCTTTATGAATAAATGGTCTCAGATGCTCAGTAAACATAATGTTACCAGCTCTAATGACCTTCTCTTTTTCCTTTTTGATAATTATTATTGTTATTATTAGTGATGCGTGAAATAGCTTCTAAGTTCCAATCAAATTCTTGCCTGGTATGATGGTTGATAGTTCTTATGTAATGGGTATACGACTGAAGGTGAAGTTGTTCCTTTTTCTTTCTTCTCTAGTTAGTACGTGTGACTTATGGATAAAATATATTCAAATGTTTATTTAGGTGCTGCTTGTATTTTTTCTACAGGATGCACAGAACAGAGTTGCAGCATTCGCTCTTTGTCAGTTGTTTCCAGATCTTCCTGTTCAACTTGTAGTCACTGAGCCTTATTCTTCTCTCATTTTTCAATGGAAAGAAGGTGATAATTTAGACACCAATTTTTTTATTCAGAGATGCAAAATAACTCTTTGAAACTTTGTTTTATTTATGCAAATGTGGTTATGGCTTCTTTTCTGATATTGTGCTTAATCATCTTTCTTTGTCCGGTTCAGTTCATTTGCTTTGATGTCTTTATCCATACAACATGAGGGCTAAAAAAGGATATTTATCAGACTGCCAAAAGCAAGTTGCCACTGTTGTTAACGTTTCTTAAAATATTTGAATACTTTCAGGGGAACCATTGACCAAAATAGAAGACAGCGAGGAAGATCGAAGGGCTGGTTTTGTGGATCGGTTATTGAATGCTGATGATTCCAGATCAAAGGCTTCTAGTGATGATATGAATGAATCTGCTGTAGATAAGTTCCAAAAGCCCTTCATTGAAGGAAATAAAACATCGAGTTCTGTTGTAGCTGATCCAATAGCTGAAAGTATGTTCTTTTATTCTATTTTGATGCATTTATAGTAAATTGTTTTGCCAGATTTGCTGCTGATACGGAATATGAAATGGTTTAGGCTTTTTAACCCTATGGTTTTCAATGTCCTATCTTTTTTCTTCATTTTTTCTCTTCTTTCCTCCAAAGGACATGCTTTTTTTATCCATCCCCGAAAGAATTTATGCAGAATAGTTAGAATTGAATGGGAACTGTGGTGGATAATTCATTCATGAAATTATTTTGATATTGTTTGTGGAACTCTGAACGTGCAATTAAATGAGGAAATACAGGGTAAATTGCTATGAAGATCTTAGACGAGTATAATTGTTTAATTTGAGCTGAAGGATAGTGGTACTTTGATTATGGGATGGTAATAACCTAATGATGTCTTCAATTTCACACATGTCATATCTTAGGGAGAAGCCATGCGAAAGAAGTGGAAAGTTTGTATTTGAGACAGGAAGAAGAAAAGAGAAAGCAGACACATAAATACAAGGTTGGTGCATTCTTATTGCTCTCTCTAAGGAAAATGGTCATTGGATAAACTCATTGAGCTTTTAGTATAAACTATATATGTATTTGTTTTTCCAATTGCTCCTTTGTTGCTATTGTTTCTTTATAATTGCATCTCATTCGAAGTTTGGCTGGGGGATCTGATGGTTTTATCACGTTGAAGCAACTTAAACTTATTATTTGCTAATGAGTATTATGAAGTTTACCAGCTTATTTGTGTGCAACGTACACTGGAGAACAGAACTAAAATGTGTTGGAAGCTTTGTGGTTTTCTTGTTCTTCCATTGTATAAAAATTTTAGCGCTTGCTGAAGTATAACGTGCGATAATTTAGTTTAGCTTTGTATTGTTGGACAAAGGGGGGGACGGGGTTTTACATTTGATAACCTGCTTCTGTTGCATGAAATATATGAAGAAGATTGTGAATCTTAAGGCAATCTCATTATCGATAATCTGATATGTCAGAATTTGCTGATGAATGTATGCCAAGAGATTACTACGATATGATATTTGTTGTAGATTTTCAACCTTCCACATGCAAGTCTTGCTGTAGTTTTTATAGCTAGACGTATATAATTCTTAAATCTAAACTTATGGTGGCTTGAGGATGCTATTTCAAACTTGATACTCGAGCGATTGTATGAGCCTTATATGGTCTACTGTGTAATCTTTTTTGTGATTAAGGTAATATCACTCTCAATTAATGTTCTCGTTCATGTGGTTGAGCATATTATGTTGTTCATGTAAACATGATGCCTATTCTTGTAATAATGCTCCTTACCATGCAATGGATTTGGCTGTTGCTGTTAAAAGTTTTATACTTGTTTTTCTTTTCAGGAGATGTTGAAAACTAGAGCTGCTCTTCCTATTGCTGTGTTGAAAAATGACATTTTACAGCTGCTTAAGGAGAATAATGTTCTTGTTGTTTGTGGTGAAACAGGATCTGGAAAAACTACTCAGGTTTAACTTACATATTTTCCTTGTTTTGGGCAAAGCATTATGTTTGATGTGTCTCCTTGACCTGCTTAGACTGAATTTCATGTTTTTGGTTGGCTTATTGCATAATAATTTCTTTGCTCTCTCCTTCTAAAAAGCAGCCTTATGTTTTTCATTCTCTGAATGTAGGTTCCTCAGTTCATATTGGATGATATGATTGAATCAGGACAGGGTGGACATTGTAATATCATATGCACGCAACCAAGGAGAATAGCGGTGGGTGAATACTAATGTTTGTTGCACCTTTCTATGAAGCCTTTTTTTGGCCTTTCTTGCTGCTCTGTTACTGTTTCTCATGCTTTTCTTTCAATTACCAATCAAAAGTTAATTCCATTCACCTGTCTCCTTTATCTTCTCCCTTATCTTCTCTTTGAAGTCCTAAGATGTTTGTGGATGACTTAAATGCATTATGAAAACATGATTAAAATAGAAGAAGTTTGGTTCTATTTTCAAAAAGAAAATAACATGTTAAATGCAAATTGTAATATTAGTGTGTTTAATTTCTGTTAAGTTATAATAATATTATTTATCTATGTGAAATTTTGTAGAATGGATATGAAGTTTTTTAAAATGTCTGTTCCTCTAGAAACTAGAGCGAAGAATTCTTGGTAGCATATTACCTCTGATAAAGTTGAATGCATCAAGTATGATGTTGCAACTAGAAAATTAAAGTAATATATGTTTTCAGCTGAGCTTATTATTTTAGTTTATCAAGTCACAGCCTTGTCTGTTAGTGCTTTGTTGTAAATTTCATTTAAGCTTTCATATAGATATGTATCTATATCTATATATTTGGTAAAAGTACCTTGTGGATTATCGTATCATATTGCAGGCAATTTCTGTTGCAGAGCGAGTTGCTGATGAGCGTTGTGAACGATCTCCTGGTTCTAATGGTTCTTTTGTTGGATATCAAGTTCGTCTAGACAATGCAAGGTGTTCATGTGCTTATCTAATTGGTTGCTAGAGTTTTAAGAATGTTCTAATTTCGTTTACTTTTCATATGTCTAGAAAGTAGTAAATATAGTTGTGATTTGCTGTTACAAATGCAGCTGCAATGATGAATTCTGTCCATATGCTGTATGCATAAAACTTTTTCTTTATATTTCTTGATTTATGCAATCTATTTCGTGTCAGATTGATTGTGGTTTGAGCAAGTTTTTCTAAGCTCACAATTTACGGGTTACATGAACAGTTTATGTACAATTTTATCATGTTTACTGATTTTGCAAAGTGCATGATGGTTTACTGAAGATTAGGGAGGCTTAAGATGCTTTTAAGGAGCTTAAAAATAGTACCTTTGATTTTCTGCCTCCTCTTGTCAAATTCTTAACGGTGCTTAAAGTGTTCTTTAACGTTTAGACGATGCTGAGATTTCATTTATGTTGATTTATGACAATGTTTCATTGTCTTTTGAATTGCTTTGTCATTCCTTAAGGTGACAAATATTGTTGCTATTAATTTTTTTAAGCTTCTCCTTTCTCTTGCTATATTGTACGTGTTAACTATGTTTTTGTAGAAAATAGTATTTGCCTGTGTAGCCCACTTGATGTTTTCACTTAATAGAGGGCTATTTTTAATTTAGTTCTCAAAAGACTACTGTGATTTTTTTATTTTTTTGCTTAAATAACAAATTTTCCTTCTTGCTTATGCTGTATTTTCTAGGAATGAGAAGACAAAGCTTCTCTTTTGTACAACTGGTATTCTTCTGAGGAAACTTGCGGTAGGCCCTTGTTGTTTACAATCTGTTTTGAATCTATTGTAACTAATGTCAGCCTCAATTTTGTTAGATTTTAGTTTTGATCATATAAGATTTCGCTTAATAATGATGACAGCTTAATAATGTTATATGCTTCTGTTAGTATGAAGACTTATTAATCTGTTGGGCATGTTCTGTTTTTCTTCAACATGCTCATCTTTGTGATGAACAATATGTTGCTGGTATCTTTTATTAAAGGAAGTAGTAATTTGTTATGAGCTTATAGCTAAAGTTTATGCAAGGTATATGCTGGATTATCAGAATATATTTCATTAACTTGTTAGTCATTACTTTAAACATATGCTTGGCCTCTTAAGCTGTTTCCCATCTTCCTAATTCCATATATGCTAAAAGAGTAAAAGTAATGGCATAGATATAAGAGTAATGATTTTATAGACTTGATTTTATGTACTGTTTTCTTTCTCCCAACCACAGTCAGACTGCTGAAATGTGATTCTGGAACAGTGCATCTATTTGCTAAACTAGAGAACCCTTGCTAGTTTTTGACATTTTCACCAATAGCTGCTGTCTGTGGAAGTCTTACATGAATATATTAATTTGAAGATTCCATGTGGATGATTTAATTCTTTATAAATATACAGAAACTTTTAATTCATATTAGATTACGTTTCTTTGAGTGAGGTTATTGCAATACATGTTTTGTAAAATTAGCATTGAGGCAACTTCCCATACGAAATTACATTATGCTGTTTGTTGTTAATCTCCTTTTCCCCTTAGCTTTCCTCCTCTTGTTTATTGTTTCAATATTCTCAGGGGGATAAAAGCTTGACTGGTGTTAGTCATATCATAGTTGATGAAGTACATGAACGGTCTCTTTTGGTAAGTGAATGAATTTGAAGTTCAACTATGGTTAGTTCAGGTGGATTCTTTTATGTGTCATTGGGCAAATAAAAAGGATTTTTTTAAACCTGTGGTGTGTATGTTCTCATTTGGTTTACAAAGTCCTTCAGTGATTGACACTCAGCAGGGTTTTTTAAATGAATTAATTTGCAGCACTTCATGCAAGATATTTTATTTGATTTTGAGTTCTTGGCTCTGAAAAAAGGGTTAACAAAGTATCTCATCGGACAGTTGTTGAGATCATTTGTAACAATCAAAAGTTCTTGCCATTAAAAAAAAGTTGCAAGTTCATATCTGAAGGGCTAGTCAAATCATGAAAAGCATGTGGGGAGGAGCAATCTACCCACAAGGGAAATTGCTGTTCAATGCTATATTATTTTTTGAGAGTGGAGCAGTATCAACTTTTACAAATTTTAGTCAATACTGAAATATACAAATCCAACTTTGCTAAATGAATCTGACTTGTTTCTTTTTCCTCACAGGGTGATTTTCTACTCATTGTTTTGAAGAATCTGGTTGAGAAGCAATCTGCCTATGGCACACCCAAGCTGAAAGTTATTCTTATGTATGTGTATTTTTAGTTCTGTAATAGTGTATGTGTTACTCATCACTCGTGGTTGTGTAAGCTTGTCTTGACTTCCATCTCAGCCACACCTTTTTCTCTTGGTTTTTGAATTATGCTATGAATGTTTAGGTCTGCAACGGTTGATTCTGATTTATTCTCAAGATATTTTGGGCTTTGCCCGGTGATTACTGCACAAGGCCGGACACATCCGGTGACAACTTGCTTTCTTGAGGATATATATGAAAGTATCAATTATCACCTTGCTTCAGATTCTCCTGCTTCTCTAAGATATGAAACAACCACAAAGGACATGGTAATTAAAATTTGGTTTCATATTATTCTGACTGGGTGTTAGCTAACTGCTTCTCGAATCTGGAGCTGAAAGAAAAAAGTAAATGAGTATGTGATAGCTATGTGATCAGTCACATGCCTCGCTGCACTTATAAAACCAGCTAAGTGTAGGTGTGCCAATTATTAGATTTAGTGATGCTTTAATTATTTCCTCCAATTTTGAAATTTCTTCCCATTGTCAACATGTGTTGTTAGCTAGCTTTTGCATTTTAAGCATAATGTACAAAATGGAGCTTTAAATCACCCGTTTGATGATTTTGATGATTTATGAGTATGATATCTTGGTTTCTGTCATCATGCAAGTAATGAAGTCTTGCATTCTGCTGCAGAGTGGTCCTGTGAACAATCGTAGAGGAAAGAAAAATCTTGTTTTGTCTGCATGGGGTGATGATTCCCTGCTTTCGGAGGACTATGTAAATCCAAATTACAATTCAAGTAGTTATCAATCATATAGCGATCAAACACAACAAAATTTGGTAAACTCTTTTAGCTCAAATGGCATGTTTTCTTCTATTTACCTCGATGATTGGATGAATAACAAACTTACAACTTTTTAACACAGAAAAGACTGAATGAAGATGTCATTGATTACGATCTGCTTGAAGACTTAGTCTGTCATGTAGATGAAACATGCGATGAGGGTGCTATACTCATCTTTTTGCCAGTAAGCTGTCCTAAGTACTTTGATGTGGTCTATACTATACTTCTGGATTTTCCTATTTTGATATTAGTTTGATACATATTCCATGGCATAACAGGGTGTTGTAGAAATTCACACACTGCTTGATAGGCTAGCTGCATCTTATCAATTTGGACCATCTTCTGACTGGCTTTTGCCTCTACATTCATCAATAGCATCAACCGAGCAAAAAAAGGTTTTTTTAAATCCTCCTGATGGCATACGTAAGGTAGGCTTCTTCACTCGTGTTTGAGATTTTCATTTGCTATCATAATTTCAACCCTAAGATCATTTAACTTCTTTCAATATATTTCAATTTTCCAGGTTATTATAGCAACGAATATTGCAGAGACTAGTATAACAATTGATGATGTGGTCTATGTGATTGACTGTGGAAAGCATAAGGAGAATCGTTATAATCCTCAAAAGGTTTGCGTTTATATTTATTTACAGTTTAGTAATCTTCATTTTGTTGATGTTTATGTTGCATGAGTGCAGATGTTTAGAGCCAGGCCTATTTCGGTGTTGTTAAGCAACTGCTGGTAAAAAAGTTTGGCTGAAAGAATCTTAGGCTTCTAACTGTTGTTTAGCTCTATTGATATAAATCATTTTCTAATTTTACTATGAAAACCAATTTTATATTCATAAAGTTCCAATATTTTGGCTATAGAATATCTGTGTATTTGCATTCTATATCGACTGAAGGCAGGTTACAGTCAGATCAACTGGCAGTCCATGTCAATCTAGGAAGCTTATCCTAGATGTCATGCTGCACATCTTCAGTGGTTAATAACGTGTCTAAGTTTGTAGTAAAGTCCTACATGAGTATTAAAAGAAAGAAAAAAGCTTCAACTGGAGTAAACATCATCTGGTTGCTAGGTTCAAGGACTGAAAATGCTATGGTTTCTGCTTTTGTTCTTCGCTTAAGTTGTTATGACCCACCAATACAAAGTTGGGAAAAGACGGGTAGTTGGTAATGCTTATGTATATTGGAAAAACATGGAGGGCTGAAAGTTTATCATTTTTTTTTATCTTCTCTTTTTTGGTTCTCTACCATAAACCAATATCAGATAATGAAAAAGAAAAAGAAAAACAGTTCTAATTTTAGCAAATGAGAGTAGAAATTTTAGAAGAGAATGCTATTGTCAAGCATCTTACCCCAATCATAAGTGAATCCTTGTCTGTATGCATGAATTCCTTCTATTAAGTCGTTGGTTATGCGCTTGATTTTTCTTAATTGTTGCTGTAGAAATTATCAAGCATGGTTGAAGATTGGATATCTCGAGCGAATGCTAAGCAGAGGAGAGGAAGAGCTGGCCGTGTTAAGCCTGGAATTTGCTTTTGCTTGTACACACAACATAGATTTGAAAAGCTCATGCGTCCATATCAGGTAATTTCTCCTTTAGGAACATATTTATTTATGTGCTTATAACTAGGCTGGAAATTATAACTTTAACTTATTTATTGCTTTGATTATTGCCCCAAATCTTATCTATTTTTTCTTAATTATAATCAAGGTTCCTGAAATGCTTCGGATGCCTTTAGTAGAGCTTTGTTTACAAATTAAGCTACTTAGCCTCGGTCACATAAAGCCTTTCTTATCCAAGGTACAAATACATCTTTACAGCAAATATATCTTGTAATCGTTTTATTTTTCTAAATTATTTTTTACTTAAAATTTTTTATTTTATTTCAGGCTTTGGAACCACCCAAGGAAGAAGCTATGAACTCTGCCATTTCATTGTTATATGAGGCAAGTTTCCTTCATTTGATCAATAACTGTGACGTATGGTAATTGACTGATTAAGATTTTGGGCGTGATTTGTGTTCAAGGAAGAAGCACTTAATTTAGATTTTTCCTTTTGTCATGACCCCCTGTTGTCTTTTATTGCTTGATTAAGATTTTTGTTATCCTATCAGCCTACTTAACTGGCATTTGTGAATACTTGGACTTTGCAGAAGAGGACCCTAAAATAATTATAGTATACTAGTTACTGCTTTATTTGTTGTTGGTAGTTGGGAAATATGATTGCCTATGAGTTTATCACTAGATGATAACAGGAGCTTATTTTTCAGGTTGGTGCTGTTGAGGGAGATGAAGAGTTGACTCCTCTTGGGCATCATTTGGCAAAGCTTCCTGTTGATGTATTAATTGGAAAGGTGCACTGTGCATATCGTATATTTTATTTCCACTATTCTTTTGGCTGTAGATGTTAATATAATCACTATGGCTTGCACTTCATTTAAAAAATTTTCTGAGTTTGTAAATGTTTTATATGATATCTTCTTACTACATCTCAAAATGTTTAAACTCATTCTTATGAGCTATTTTTTTTTTTTCTAAAAATGTAATTTATTACAAACAAAACTTATGCCTATTGTGATATGCGTGCTATACATTTGTGTAGCAAGAATTGTTAGAAATTAATTTAATATGCCCCCAGATAGAAGGATCGGTTATGGGACATAAGTACAGAGCAAAAGCATTTTAAAATAGTGCAAACATAATAAAATTGAACCTAGATTTTAAATTAGGGTTTCTTTGTCAAAAGTAAAGGAGAGAAAGTGCCAAATATGAAGATTTTACATGGACTTTGAGTCAGTTTAGCTTGCTGTAGAGTGCTGCCTTTTGTTTGCCTGAAGTTCTTTGAATGAAACATGATGAGCATATATAGTTTTTTTCCTCCATGGATGCACAAATCTTTCAATCATTTGTTGCATTAGACTGCTAAAGAACTTCCATTGGACCAGAGTTTACTAAATTGTTTCTGGATGAAGTGCAGATGCTGCTCTATGGTGGAATATTTGGTTGCTTATCGCCTGTCCTATCAATCTCTGCGTTTCTCAGCTATAAGTCTCCATTTTTGTATCCAAAAGATGAGGTTCTTTATTTCTATACTAAGTTTATGTTGTTCTTGCTTTCAGAAAAGGAAAAAGTTGCATGACTAGCACTTTTTTGTTTTTATATTACAGAAGCAAAATGTTGAAAGAGCTAAATTGGCTTTATTAAGTGATAAGCTCGATGAATTAAGTGATTCAAATGTTGCTGATAGGCAGTCTGATCATTTGCTAATGATGGTTGCATATAGGAAGTGGGAGAAGATTTTCCGAGAGGTTAGTGAATGATTGTATTGGTTTTTATTAGCTTTGTAAGGATGAGTAAATTAGTATTTTCTGTAAGTATTGGATTTCAATCCCCTGAAGGTGGGAAAAATGAAAAGAGAGGTCAACTTACCATCTTAAATGCATCATGCCATGTTCAAAGTACTATACTTGCTAAAAATTTGGTGTTGATAAATATTAGGGATAGAAATAACCTCTTCAACTAATCAGCCCCTATTGCCAGAAATGGTGCATAGGATGTGTAATTTCAAAGAAATTATCACACCAACTTCTACAACCCCATACTTCTTTCCCATTATCAACTCTATTGATCAAATACCTCCTGACTTTATCCTCTTGATCCTTTTTTACGAAGTTGATAATGCTTGTTTTTATTTATCTGCACCTTTGTCAATTTTTTTTGTCCTTTGTTTTGCTTTTTAATCTCTAGTTGACCATATGCTAATCAACAACTACAAAAAAAAGTTTGCAATGCTAGAAGAGTTTGACTTGTTTGGTAAATGGCACCCTGATTGACCTGCACTTCGATATTTAGAACCCTTATCCTTCGGCATTGAGACGAAGAGGGAGTCTTGTTTTGTTTCTGGAGTGATTGCAGTTCTCTCTATATACCATGATCTGTTTAATGGATTTGCATGAGACATGTTATGGTGGCTCTTCAAACATACCACTTATTTGTGAAATTTCTATCCTTGCAGAAAGGAGTAAAAGCTGCCCAGCGGTTCTGCAACATGTACTTTTTAAGCAGTTCGGTTATGTACATGATAAGGTTTAGCTTTTACTTTTCTTTCTCTTTTTCCCCCCTTACGGGAATTTTTGGCCTTTTTCCTATCATTCGGATGATAACCCACCCTTTAGCTGTTATATTTTGTCTGCGACATCTATTCTATTTTTGTCATTTTATGAATATGGAATGAATTCTCCAAAATACAGATAATACTTCAGAGTCTTGTGCAAGTTCTTAAGTTGTCAATATGAACAGGATATATTGTGTTCTTGCTAGTGGTATCTTTGCCAATTTGCAGTTACAAAATATGTCACTATATGTGTTTCTACCTATTTGTTATTATGTATCTTCAGTAGCTATTATCCCTTTGGAGATGCCACTTGGAAGGGAAAGGAGTATATTGCTCCTATCATATTTGCCATGGCCCTCCATCAAGGGAGTCAAAGCTAGCAAGTCACTGTGATAATTGCTTCTTCCTTTCTGGCCCTCCATGCTGCAGGGATCACTGGGTGGTTGAGGGGTTGTTGATTTAGATATTTATCAAATTGCTTACCTAAAATATCCCAGTAAAACCATGGTTCGTATATATGTCAAAAGATAACCATTTAAATCATGATAATATCTGTTCAAATAATTATTTTGTAGCTTTTGATTTTTTTTTTTTTTTGAATTTGGCAACTAATCTTGGTCTTTTGACTTGTTATTTTAAAATTTCAGAGACATGAGAATACAATTTGGAACACTGCTAGCAGATATAGGATTCATCAATCTTCCAAAGAATTATCAGGTATGCTTCCTTTGATTCAATTGATATGACTTTTATGCTATTTGATGTGGTATATGTTTTGTCCTTATCTTACAGACTGGGGGTAAAAGGGAGAATCTTGATGGTTGGTTTTCTGACTACTCACAACCATTCAATATGCATTCACATCATTCAGCAGTTGTGAAGGTAATTATGAACATAAGTTTTATTCATTGTGTGAATTGTTCACATTTTAGTGCTACTTTTGCAGTTTTGCATCTCTCTTATGTTATGGCTGAGGTTATGTTTTGGTCTTTATTCACTTCATTTATCTGGATGATATTTTGTCCATTTAGAACTTTATTTGCAATATTTATTCTTTGCGGGCAATCTTTGCTCTCTTAGTTTCATTTATACCTTACCTGTGTCATTTATTATGGGGCTATTAGATGTTCAGTTAGATATTTGTTCCCAAGGGGAAGTCATATATTCTCTGTGTGTAGTAGAGGCTTAGAGCCATCCTGTATACTTGCCACTTGTAAACGGGGCACCTTTATTATTATTATTATTATTATTATTATTATTATTATTATTATTTGTTTTGTTCCTCTCTTTGGATATCACTAGAGTTTCGTCTTGTTTTCTTGAATGCTATATCTCAATTTTCCTGTGAGTTTACATATTTATAAAACCAGCTTTCTCGTGATGTGTGTTTGATGCTCTGAGAAGGGGCTTGAAATATCCAAAGTTCCTCCAATCATGATTTGAGCAGTTATTGATTTTCTTTTTGACACTTATGATCATTATCATGTGCTGTTAAGTGTTATTGTTTGCTTACGAGGTGTGTGTAGCGAAGGATGATTAAAACCATGTAACTGCATCTTATTGAGACATAATTCTAATATTATCTTTGAAGGCAATATTATGTGCAGGTTTATATCCTAATGTGGCTGCCACTGAGCTGGGCATTGCTGAAGTAGCTCTCAGTAGACTTAAACACAGTCCAGCATCAAAGGGTCATCCAGTCTGGTATGATGGAAGACGAGAGGTTCATATACACCCTTCTTCAATCAACAGTAGCTTGAAATCCTTTCAACATCCATTTCTTGTCTTCCTTGAAAAGGTATGTACGCTTCTGGCTAATGGATTTTCTTCTTTAATCTTCTGAATTTTCTTCTTTCTCTAATCAATGAATAATTCTTATATTCATACATGATATACGTAGGGCTGATGAATCATTGCATGGCCATTTCCTGGGGAGCTGTAGAACTATCCTAACATAGGTTAATGCGAAGGATTAGCTTTTTTTCTTAAAAATGTCCAAATTTTATTCGATTCTTGAAGTTGGTTGTTATCATGTATAATATAAATGTAAGAAGTTTCTTGAATGTTGATAAGCATATGCTGTTCATAATGTTATCTGAAATTTTTTTGTTTGCTCTTTGCTTATTGAAATTGGTCTTGTTCATAATGTTTGTTATTGCACTTGTTTGTTTGATTTGGCACATAATCTTCGTGTTGTACAATTTTAGCATTTCTGATAATTAAGAATAAGCTAATCCAGACTTAAATTATGTGTTGCAATATAGAGGGGGATGTTCTTCTTTAGGTTCTTATGTCGTGTTTAAGATACCCATACAAGGATTATCTTTATGCTTATTCTAGTTAAGAATTCTGGGTTTCTGTTTGGTATCCACTACTAGATTGGAGATTTCTTAGGAATCTCAAAATGGTGAAATCACTTTTACCATTTGTAAGTCCCCTTTTCCCTTCGACCATTTAAACTTTTCCTTGATTAAAAATGGCAAGAAAAAGAAAAACTTCTTAGGAGCTAGCTTTGTATGCAATTTGCTATGGATTGCAATCTAATTTTGACATTTACAGGTTGAAACCAACAAGGTATTTCTGCGAGATACTACAATCATATCTCCCTTCTCCATTTTGCTGTTTGGTGGCTTAATTAACATTCAACATCAGGTATTTTCTGTAATCCTTAGTGGCCATAAAATAAGTGAATTTCTTCTGCTTATGCTGTTAAATTTGATGAAATCATATGATGATTTGTTCCATCTTTGACTTATCTTTTGCTTTCATGTCTCATTCAGAATTTCAAAACCATTTTAAGTACCCTTAGGGTGTATTATACTGTCTTTGATATTCTACAATGCTAATATATACATTCTCTAAGATTTATGGTAAACAACTCAAAATCAGTCCTTTATTACACTTATTGTTATACCACCTAAAGCTTTCAAAAATCCCTGGTTACACGCTGATGAACCTGTCCGCTCCACTACTCTATTATTTCACTTTTTAATTCTAACTCTTCTCCATGACACTCATGGCAAGTGAAACAAACCCTGAAAATGAAGCTTATAGTTTCCTGTTAATTTATACTCCATTGTTATAGTATCATTCTTGAATCGAATAGTACTGTTCCATCCTTTCAAAACTTTGTTATATCTGATAGTCCTTATCAGTATGTAGTTTCTTGTTCGCGGATTAACATTTTTTCTTTTATAGTCTGGATTGGTTACTATAGATGGATGGTTGAAGCTGACAGCACCTGCTCAAACTGCTGTCTTGTGTAAGGAACTTAGATCAGCTCTTCATTCAATTTTAAAGGAGCTGATTAGAAAGCCAGAGGTATGGTTGTGTGTGATTATTTATAGTTTAGTTGTCTTCTTTCAATTGCTTAGAATTCGAAACTTAGTATATGTGAATGTGTGCAAAAGCCTAAAACAGTCGAAGGGTAAGAATAAGGTTCTTGGTGTGTAATTTTTTTGCAGTTTATTTGTGCTTTAAATGAATTTTCAATGCCAAACTAATAATCCAAATGTTTCATAGTTCACAAACTTGGCATGCAAGGTTGGTTACTTGAGCTGCTTTATCTAAACATCAATTGCTGCTATTTTTAATGTCTCCCATTTGGTTATCATCTTTCCTTGACGAATCTTGTGCCTGTAATGATGCATAACTTATTCCTTTTTTTTTTTTGGTTATTTCTTGTAGAATGCAACTATTGTAGATAATGAGGTTGTCAGGTCAATGATAAATTTGTTGCTAGATGAAGACAAGCCCCCAAAATAGTTGAGCACTATAGGTATGCGATCATGCTTTGAGCTTCATAATTTAGCTGGAGAATATATGTTGCGTTCTCATCCTGACTTGTTGCTTCGTTTTGCATGATAGTCTTTCCTGTTGCAGTGGCTGAGCTCGAACTTGCATCAAGACACACGGTTGTGTAACTTATTGTTCAAGGATGCTGCCTGCCTGAATTTGGAGGAACTGGGAAGTGATGTTTGTTTTCATTGGCAGTGCAGGCTAAGTTCTTCAAAGAAAGCATCGGGTTTACTGAATGCATGGTCTTCAAAATGACGTGATGACAGCAAGGTTCGAGTACAAAAATTCGCACTCCTGGCAAGAATTTCATTTATTATCATATTTCTTCTGCGTCATCGGTAATAAGACCGGCTCTGGACTTCATAAGTGCCTATATAAGATTAAGATTTTGGAAATTACAATGTCAAATATATAAAGGCTTAAGATTATACCATGAAACTACTTTTTTTTATGCTTACAGCTTAATCTCATATTTGGCTGTCGGAGTGAATTTTCTGAAACGAAGCATGAAAAAAAAAATTGCTGAATTTTGCATGTAGGTACGATTAACTTACATTTAACAAAAAAAAAAAATCGCGTCTATCTGAAAAGGAAAGGTTTGGAGTTTGTGGTTAGAAGTGGGCGAAAAGAACAATTAAGGTCGGTCAAAGGAAGTTTGTACGATACGGAAGTGTAATAGTCATTGGGGAATGAATCCACGGCTTGAGTTCTGGGAATAGGAGGGAGAGAGAGAGAGAGATATTTAACTGTGGCTAGCTTATAGACGGCGCTGAAAAATCCGGCTATGCTTCTTGATTAAGATTGTAGCTCGATTGAGCTTTGAATATTCAGAGTGGCAACGAGCTATTGTTTTTTATTCTTTATTTCCATTTAAATTTAGTGAAAACCAATACAATAGAATATTAACACAAGACAAAGAAATATGAAAATGAAAAAAAAATGTATAAACCTGTGTAATATGTATCTCTCTATTTGAAAAACCGAGTCTTTTTCTAAAAAATAAAAAATAAAAATTTAGTTATAAAAGTTTTCATATATATATATATATATATTAGATTACAAACAACATTCATTCGGTCACTTCACTCGCCCCAACAGCCCCCGCAAAATGAAAAATACTGGTTTCCCTCTGAAAATAATGAAACAGAAAGTCGAAGATAACCACTTCAAAATGAATAGAGGCAAATCTATTTCTTTCTTCCACTTGTTTTTCTTCCTATCTCTTTTGATCACCCATCTCTCTTTCTCTCATGTCCTCGCTGATTCCCACTTCGAAGGATTTGACGCCGAAGACGATGACGCTGTCGAAGAACAACCCTTGGACCACCGTTTCATCCGATCGCCTCCTTTAACTCAGTCCGACTCACAGGCCACCCCAGATCCTGAAACTCAAACCAATCCCGATCCCAACCCTTTTCCCACTTCGGATCCTCCGCCCAAATTGGATCCTCAAAAGCCATCCACTGCCACTTTCGAGTACTGGGATGAGGACGAATTCGAGGGCTTACCCGTCGAACAACAGTCACCGGAACCTCCAAAAATTACTGAAAATGCCACGCCCGACAACCCAGATCCAAAAACAACCGCAAAACCCCAAAACGCTATGGTTTCCAAAAAGTCCTATACGGTGGAGATTATCTGTGGGTCTTTCTTGATTGTTTTTATAATCAATTACTTCACTGGTAAACGTGAAAACGAGAACCTTGCGTTGGCATGGGCTGCGAAATTTGCTACAAAAGGTTCGATCTTTGAGAAAAATTTCAGTCTTTTAGGTGTGGGAGAAGGGGAGGACTCGCCATTACTTTTAAAAGAAGGTCAAAACGTGTTCAAATTCTATGCGAGTGGACGAAGATACTGTCTGGGATTGTTGGCAACTATGGAGTTGAAGAGCAGGCATGATTTAATATCGAGATTGTTTAATTTAGTGGTGCCGTGTAAGGATGAGATTACTTTTGAGGTTTATATGAATGAAGAAGCAATGGATCAGGTGGTTTTTGCTGTGGCAAAGAAGAAGGCGGCGAAAGGGATGCAAAAAGAGGTTAGAGATTTACAGAGGTTTGCTGGGTTGGTGGCGAATCCTAGTGGAAGGAAATGGGTGGCGGAGGAGCTTTCTGTGATCTCTGAATCGAAGGAGGTTGCTGGGGATTTGATTACAGAGGCTGTGCTTGAACAGGTTGGTTGGTCAAGCTCTTGACTTCTGTTGATTTTATTGTTTCTCCTGGCTCTGGGTCCTGATTTATTTAATTGAATATTTTATCTGTCAATGTGTTACGTATATTGGATTTCTTAAGTTACTCATTTGAATTACGAGAGTTTGGTTGATTGATAAAGAAAGTGGATTTGTGGGGGACTAATGCATTGGTGTCGTTAGGTGCTTCTTTGTGGCCGGTTTTTATTTTTCTTTTGATTTGCTATGTTTTATTTCTGCGATGTAGGATGATAAGAATTTGTAACTGAAAGTGGTAGATTATAGCTTTTCATGTGTTAGATCTCTATGGTTTTCGTTGGGCTACATGCATGGTTCATATGGCTTTAATTATTGGAGCATATAGTTTTATGAGATTCTCTTCTCTGTGCTCTCTTTTGTAATCACACTAAGTGATTGTCAGCATCAGGGTACTTTAGCTGATTAGTCAGGCATATCAGATTCAGAGGCAAGTGTAGAAAAATTAAGTTCATGGTCAGTCAGAATCACCAGACAGGATTTTCATGTGATTTTATGTTTTGAGGGGGCTGATGATGAACAGCCACTTTAATAAGTTCCAAACATTTATTGTGCTAGTAGGATGGAATGGGTAAAACATTGCTGCATTAGTAGTAAATCAGTAGTTTCTGCTAAATTTGCTGGTGATTTCATTTTTGTAATTAAAGAAGTTTGCATGATCAGGCTTTATCTAGGATTTCGACCTTGTTAGTTTCCTAACTTTGTAAGGTCAATGCCCTTTCTTTCCTCCTCTCTTTTGGTTCATCAATTTGCTGGTGGTTAGAAGCAGGACTCTTCTTGATTGTTGAATGGATGGCTGGGAACTTGCGACGGTTTGTCTTAGGGATTTTCCATCCTTCTATGGTCTTAAGTCTCTTCCTTTTTTTCAATGTTTTTCTCCTTATTAAATCATGGTAATAAGGTCCTATTAAATTCCACGGCTTATGGACAAAGGCAAAAGCATCAAATTATTCAAGGTGCAAGCATGTGAATAATACTGTTGAATATCTAGATGTTAAAGTTGCCAGCCAATCATCATACTTATTATTATTATTATTTGGTGGGGGTAGGAGAGAGTGGAGAATATGATTATTTTTATTAGGATTCGCTGATCCATTATCTTTAGGTTCAAGTTTACTGGAGATGATATGAGCTTGGTATCTAGTGCATTTTGTGGTTCTCGTGTAATTTTCCTGTTCATACTACATTCTTGGGCCCATTGTTATTAACCATTTATTGTTATGTTGAGATTTGCTCCAAATTTGCTCGACAGCTCACTAGTTGTTTTAACTTGTTCAAAATCAATTGTGATTCATAATCTGCAGGTTTTCAGTGACAAAGCTTTTGAGAAATATGGGAAGGGTTTCATTTCGATGCATTTTTCAGATCAACATCCTGGCACACACAAGAAGATGCTCTTGTTTAAGTTTGCCCTCCCTGATGCTAACCACATGGATGACATGACTCGCTTGGTGGCTCTTGTGCCATACTACATTGATTTAATCGGGCGGTACAAGCTCAGCTCACAGGTGGTTCAGCTGTAAATTATCTTATGCATCAAATATACAGCATATGTCAATTTGGTAATGTTCTTAAAATTGTGTTTTTTTTTTCCCTATTGCAGGCTCGATCCAAAACCGAAGCAGCTAGAGTGAAGGCTGCTCAAGAGACATACAAAGAACTTCAAAATGCTAGGCAAGAAGCGATGCAGAAGAAGAAGGCAGAGAGGAAAAAGATGTTAGAGGAGGCTGAGGCAAAGCTCAGTGCGGAAGCAATTCACAAGAAAGAAGCAAAAGATCATGCTCGTCAGATGAAGAAGGCAATGCCAAGAGTAAAGATGACCCGAGCTCGTTAGTGTTTTCAAGTTCCAATAGGCACCTGGCTTGACATTATTGGTATCAATCCTTAACTGTAGTTGGGCATTCTTGGCTTATATTGTTCTGCAGGTATTGGTTCCCTGGTTTCTGTATCCTCACTGCGAATGTATTTTAGTTCTGAATTACCTTAGCTACTCTCCAATATCACCACACGATTGTGAATTTTGAATGTGCCAGAGATACTGCTTCCGAAACTTCATATATTTTCCTCCATGGAGGACATTTCAGCATTTTTTTTGGAGCAATTCCCAAGTAATGATTTTGACGTTCTGGTTGTTAACTTGGTTTCCCTCTACCTAGTAGTTTACAATTGTGAAGCTAATCAAAGATGGTTGGTTATCGGTTGGGTACTTGCGGGAAATGAAAATTTTCAGAGAAGTCTAAGTCTAATGTTCTTTTAACGTGTATCAACAATTGGTCGGACATCACATGCATTTTAATTTTTAATTGGATGCTGTTAAGGACCGTTTTAGAAAAGTTTAGGAAGATAATATTAGTGCATAAGTTTTCAAAATGTATTGAATGGAAAATACTACAATTAATAATAACAATGGATGAATCAGTACCTATTTCCTACAAAATATACAAGATGGGTACTTCTTGATCAGATGCAGTTAGCATCTTTATTATCCCTCAGAAGGATGATTCTATATATTGTATTTGGTCAGGCTTGAGCATAATCCCATGCAATAAAAGTCGAGTCTATTTTCTAAGCAATGTAGCCGGTATAAAAGTTTTGAACCTTAATATTGCAGGATTGCCATTCACCAAAAGTGGATTTTAAAGAAAATCAATTACTCAGATGCTACAAGAGAACTTTAATTCTTAGAAGTTACAACTTTCGTCTTTGAAGGAGTACATAATTGCCTGATCAGAATACAGGGGGTGCAGATATGTCCATTTTGTTCAAGTAAACCTACAAATAAAAATACTGAGACTTTTACCTTGTGTCTTCTTTTTATACAAGGTCTATTACATAGAACTCCAAAGAACTCATCAACAGCTCTTACCCACCTGTAATTCCATGGAAAAGAAACCATGTAAATCGACACAAATGAACTTAATATTTCAACTAGCTACACTATCATACACAGCTGCTAGTATCTGAAGACAAAAAATGACAGATATATACAAGTGCATACATCCATAACATGATTGGTAGAGGTCGGAGCAAGGGTTGTAAGTCATGGTAACCGGATCGCCTCTGAAAAAAAAAAAACCGCCGTCTGTGGGAATCGAACCCACGACCACGTGGTTAAAAGCCACGCGCTCTACCGGCTGAGCTAAGACGGCTTGTGTTGGGGTGTGCAGTTATTTTATATAACTATTTAATGTGAAAGGTCAAACTTCCAATTGAACACAAACTTTTATTCTGCTTAATTAATGAAAATTTAAGACTTAAAACGAAATTTGGTGGTTTAGTTACGAATCTCTATTATTGCTATTTATGGTTTAGGATGGTACCATGTTATAATTGTGAAAGTGATGTGAACAATAGTGTTTAAAAGCTAGGTAATGACTTTCAACAAGAAATCCTGTAATTAGATGTGAAGTTGTTAACATTTTAGAATTGCCGACATAAAAAACTATAGAAAGGCATTAGCTCAACATCGGACAATGAGATTTCTGCTTGGAGGTGCTCATTTTGAAGATGCTAGAACTGGAAAGGGGAACTGTTTCGCTTTAACTTATGTGGAAAAGAATGATGAAAAAAGTCTTTCCCTAGATAAATTTGGAGTTCGCTCCGCAGGAAATGTTCTCTAAACATTGATTTATGGCCGTACAGTTGCTGAGTACCCTAAAAAGTAATCATTACTCATTACCCATTACTGGCAATTCACATCACATGTGAAAATGCTCCTTTTTAAACAGTTTTATATGCATATTCGCACTCAGGGCCGCAAAGAACAGTTAAAGAAAAAAAACAAAAAACAAAACAAAACCAAGGTTTTAAAAGTTTTAAAAGTTTAAAAAGTTTAAAATACTATATTGCGGTCTGCTACGTCACTCATTTTTTAATTTCAACAATGTTTAACTCATTTTTTTAGTTACATGAAATATTTTAATTGGTAGGTTATATTCTCTTCTCAAAAAACCAGCAATATGTATCGTTGTTATATCAGAAAGCAAAATGAAATTCACTGCAACAGTAGTAGAGATTATTATTATAAACGATACATTAATATTCGTAAATTATTTAAATTTAATTTGAATAAAATTTAAATTTGACTCGATTATTATCGAATCAAGTTCGAATTTGAGTAATTTGACTTATCGATTAAATTGAGTTTAAATGTTTTTATATCTAATTGAAGTAGCTCGTGAGTTTAATCGAATTTATATATTTTAATATATTTTAACTATTTTAATTAATAAATATTTAAAACTCAAGTTAAAGTTTTAATAAAAATAATCGAATTTTTATCAAATATAAGAATCGAATTTATTTTTAAATATAATTAATCTAATCAAATGAGTTTAAGTAATTTAATTTCTATTTTGAATTGAGTTTAAATTAAAAAAAATTTTGATTAAATATCAAACATCAAATTTTAAATCAAATTTAAATTTAAATTTAATATTATATCAACTCATATAATCTTATAATAAAAATAAAGGAGAGCACCTTAACAGGCCAATGGTTGGCTACCAGTCTAGGAGGAAGTTTGTGTTAAGCTGTCGTTTGTATTAAGCTGTCTGACAAAGTTAAAAATCTAAAATCAAAGTAGAAGTTAAAGGTGGATTAAAAATAAAAGTTCATAGATTTCTTTTTATTATTGTGCTTCGTTGCTTAAACCAATACTAAAAAGATTTAAATAAGAGAAAAAGGAAAAATTTAATGATTATACCTCAAAAGGAGGAGCTATTTATTTTTTATGCGATGAGAGCGCTAGGTTTGGAAGGCTTGAGCTTTGAAAGTCGAATTTAGAGTAGATAATGCTAACCTAACTTGAACTGATAGATTAAAATTCAATTAAAAAATGACAAATTAATATAATCAGGAGCTTTCAAATGAAAGGTTAAATTGATTGAATTAATTTAAATCTTTAAGTTTCATATCGATTCATAATGTCAACTCAAATTAAAATACCTTTCCTTTTTACTAATGAATCATCATCTAAAAGAATTAATTTTACCCTTATAATCATAAAATACGATTAAGATAGATGGAAATATTTCAAATTTTAGCTAGCACATACAGCTTTTAAAAAGCTTAGAATTACAGAACTCTTTTTATTAATTAAATTAATTTTTTAATACAATATATTTAAAATTAAATTTGATAATTTAAAATTCAAGATGATGATATAATATGAAAATAATATAAATAAATAATTAAAAATTAATATGATTTAAAATTTTAAAAATTAATAAAATAAAAAATTATATTATATATTTTTACGTTAATATTATACATGTTTTTTATATAAAATATTAAATAAATATAATATTTTATATGAAATGAATTATTAAATTTATTTAATTTGTGTAAAGTGAAAAAAAAAAATCAAAATAATACAATAAAAACAAAGATTATTGTCATCATCGTATATTTACAGTTTACCTTGCGAGTGATTTGATGGACGTCAGGAGGGCATGGCAGCCATTTGTGGGTCTTTATTTGTGATGATTTATTTTTTTTTTCACCTTAACAAAAACAGACAAGACGTGTAGGACAAAACAAAATAGCACAAAAGAAAGAAAAAAACATGGGGTCTCTTCCCTCATCCTTCTCTTATCAATTCATTGCAAGCGTCAGGATCTGTCATCAAACTTATCATCAAGATTTTCATAACCACACCAGCTTTTTCAACCAAGAATGTCCCACCACGTGCTTTGTTCCATCTCTCGTACCAGTTCCTTTTTTTTTGGGTTCAGCGTCTTACCAAACGCCAAGCTGGGATTGCATTATTGCAAATTTTTGTGTTTTATTGTAGTGTTTTTTTTTTATTCAGAAAAAATCTGGACAAAAGATCCGATTTATACTTAAGGAATCGGGGAAAATGTTTATTTATAAATTCAGAAAGTCAAAATTGATTTGAGATATATGAGTAGCATCTAAATACGCTTTAATTATTTGGTTAAAGTTAAAAAATAGTTAAGATTAGAATTAAATTAGATTTAATTTTATTTTTTAAAATAATACATAAATTAATATTTTTAAAATTTGAATCAAATTTTTATACGATATTAATTAAATTGAATTCAAAAAATTTGATTTAATATTTTTTAAATTTAATTTTTTATATAATATTTTAATATGATTTTAATATATTAAATATATTTAGGTATAGAATAATTATTTTATTTTATAAAAAATTTAAAAAATATATAAAAGCTAATAAAAATATATAATTTAATTTGATTTTTTTTATTTTTTATTTCTTAATTTAAAATTCAATACAAATCAATAGATATATTTAATATTCAAACTTAATTTAAATTAATTAAAAAAATTGATTTGAAAATAATTGAATATTAGGATTTTAAATTGATTTTCGATTTTTTTGATTTCTTTAATTGAAGTTATAGAAGATGGAAGAAATGAAACAATGACCAATATTAGGATATTGAAATTATCAATTTGAAGCCTAATTTAAAACTTAATTCATTTACTTCATCTATGCATGTCATTCAATAATTTTAAAAATTAAATTTTAATATTCACAATTTTTTTCTTAAGTCACCAACTCTTTATATTAAAAGAAAAAAAATTATTAATTTGAAATCCCAATGACATCAATGAGTATGGAAATAAAAGTTTTGATGATTTTCAAGAATCTTAGAAAGTTCATACTAGGGCATGCGAAATTGAAAATTGTGAATGACAATATTTCAAGAGCAAGAAATGCCAACATATTAGGTGGATTGTCTTTTTCATAAATCTAAATTAAACACAGCACCAAATAATGCAAGTTTGGGACAATAAATAGTACTCTTGTCTCATAATTAGTTCACATGCCAACCTGATAAGTTTGTTCTTTATATTTATAAAGCCCCCCCACCAAAAAAAATAATAAGATTAAAACAAAATAATGCATTATCTAAGCTCAAAGATGATATTAGATTTGAAAATTTTGGTATGAAAAAGAATTCAATCATTCAAATATTGGATTTTCTAAGATACTATGTTCAACACGTTAAAAACAAGATTAACATTGTAACATAGTGATTTGACATTTGAATAGAAAATTTAAACTCTACATTCAAAAGACTTCATTGGGAGATGATGAACAGCCTCATATGTGTATATATATATATATATATACTAACTTGCCAGGTCAAATACGTTGGACAATTTGGTGCAATGAGCTAAGATCAGGATCGAAGACTCCCCAACAACTTTTTGAAACCATGTGCTAGTATTTTTCTCCTAAGTATGAATGATGAGACTCATTATCTTAAAGCTATGCTGCATGTAATTAAGATTGGGAAGTTTTTTTTTTTTTTTATAATAGAACCAACTGAAGAACATAAATGATCCAAGAGTCAGAAAAATTACTACAAATTTGTTTTCTTTTTTTTTTTTTTGGGGGGGGGGGAGGACAAGGAACAAAACTCGAGTAATCAAAAACATTTGAAAACCTTTTAGTCAGAAGCCTTAATTGCACCGACAAGGAGTGTACGAGTTAAATTTTCTGAAGAAAAAAAAATTGAAAATGCAAATCACGTGCTTCATTTTCAATTAGTATAATGAAAGAATAGTTTTTGTGGATAAGATCTCAGAGCGGAATATGACGAAACTAAAAGAATCCAAGAAATTAATGAAAAAGAAAAAGAAAAAAAATGTCATTTATTTCTTGTCAGACACCACGTTGTCTCCTTCCACCTTTAGTTTTTCCAGATTTTCCTCTTTTCTTCATTGCGGTAACTTAATTATTTCATTTTTGTTGATTATACAGTAAAATTTTCAGCTTTATAAAAGGGTTTATCATAGAACTCATTTGCCAAGTATTGTTAGTTTCACTGCAACATTTCAAAGAGAGAAGCTGTTTAGAGAAGAGAAAAAAGGGAGAGGAAGAGAAAGCATGGGAAGTGTAGGAGAGATAGAAGAGATGCAATGGTTGTCTTCTCCAACTTCAACCTCACCAACCACACTGCCTTCATTGTCTTTGAACCATGTTTCTTTTGTTTGCAAATCAGTGAGTAAATCAGTGAGGTTTTATGAGGAAGTGTTGGGATTTGTTCTCATCAAACGCCCTTCTTCTTTCAACTTTGAAGGAGCTTGGTATGCCTACTATACCACTCTTTAATCTCTCAATTTTGTTTGTTAAAATCATAATTAAATTAAGCTGTTGTGTTTATCACTTCTTCTTTACAGTTAAGATCATAAAAATCTTCATATTTCAAAGAGCTTAAGCTTCAGGTTTGAAGCATTTAGTTTTCACCTTTTTCTCTCTTTTTTTTTTTTTTGTTTGCATTTATTTGTCTTCAAAATTTATGAATTTAACTCAAAACAATATGACTAACCATAATTGAAAACTGAAAAATGGGCATTATTTCAGGTTGTTCAACTACGGAATAGGCATCCACTTGCTAGAATCAGAAAGTGTTCCAACAAAGAAAGAAAAAATCAATCCAAAAGACAACCATATTTCATTCCAATGCTCTGATATGAAGCAGGTGATGCGGAAACTTGAAGAGATGAATATCGAGTATGTGACAGCAGTAGTGGAAGAAGGTGGGGTTGAAGTAGATCAGTTGTTTTTCCATGATCCTGATGGCTACATGGTTGAGATTTGCAACTGTCAAAACCTTCCTGTTCTTCCACTTTCCTCTTGCCCTCTCAAGCTACCCAATTCTGGCAGAAACCATGCATTTTCTTCATTATATGGTAGGTTCTGTTATACATTTCGCCGTATTTATTGTTGTCATTGCCTTGAGAAGCTGACCGTTAACGTGTCGGAAACTACAGGGAAGCGAAGCAGGGAGGCAGCTTGCTCTGGAATGGCGGCTCTGATGATGGAAAACTTGGTCATTGACTTGCTGGACATATCAATTTGACAGAGCTGAACAGAGATCAGCGTGGTTGTGAGTTTGTTAGTCGTTGTCCTGCACTGGTTGTATTTCATCAATGTTATAAATGTGTGTACACACCCCGTTCTGAACGGGGTTCTAATTAATTTTGTTTTTGTTAATAAAAATAATAAAAAAGAAAAATTAGTGGTTGAGTTTGTTTGAATTGAAAAGTTTGAATTGGATTGAAGAGTTTGAATTGAACTGAAAATTTGGCGTTGAATTTAAAGGAAATTTATTTTTTTTTTCAGTTTAAGTTATTAGATTTTAAACCTTATAAATATAAACTTGCATCAAACCCAAAAAAAAGATACAGACAGATCAAAGAAAAAACACGCAAAGGAAGCTAGAGAATGCAAAAATTTGTTGGGAGTTTTTTTTTTTGTCAAAGAAGTATTTTTTTAAAAATTTTTTTTAGAAATTTTAATTTTAGGTGAAAATTTTTAAGTGATTTTTGAAGATTTCGGTGAAATTTTTAGTTTTCAATGTAATTACTAGTTTTCGACATCAATTTTTTAAAACTTGATAAATTTTTGATAATTCAATCAAGATTTAAAAGTGAATTTTTAAAATTTGATGATGTTTTTAAATTTTAAAAAAAAGAATGAGAAAAAAAAAAAAGAAGAGAAAGAAATAAGAAGATATATAAGAAAAAAAATAAAAAAATTTTTTTATATCCTATCAAAATGATGTCATTTTTACGTTTAATTCAGTTCAAGATTAACGTGTTTTCTTTGGGGTTTAATCTAATCACAGAGTTGACTCGCTTTTTTACTTGCATCCCAATCTTTGGTTTCAGTCGAGCTGAGTCGTAAGTTGAAGCATTCTAACTGTTTTCCTTTTTTTTGAAACCAAGCAGCATTGCTAGCTGTCAAGCCGAACAGTTTTTATTTTGATATTTTATTTATTTATTTATTTATTTTAAAAAAGTTATTAAAAAATTAAAAAAAATATAAAACAAAATAAAATAAATTTTTTGAGAATAAATAATATTTATCAAATGATAAAATTTTTAAAAATTACAAAAAGTTAATTTTTATAAAATTTTAAGTGAAAATTTTTTTTAAATTTATTCGAAATGATAAAATAATTTAAATAAAACTTTAATAATAATAATTAATATTTATTTTTTAATTAAAAATAATAACAAATAAAATTTTTAATAAAAATTTTAAAATTAAATATTAATTATCTAGTGATGAGAATCTTAGAAATTTCAAATGATAAATTTTTTATGAAATCTTTAAGTAGGAAATGTTTCTAAATTTGTCATAAAATGATGAAATAATTTAGATAAAATTTTAATAAAAGTAATTATGTTTCAAATAAAAATATTAAAAATAAAAAAAATTTTGGTTGAAAAATATTTGATAATTATCTAATGATAAGATTTTTAAAAATTTCAAACGGTAAATTTCTTAAAAATCTCTAAGTGAAATTTTTTTTTAAATTGACCTAAATGATAAAAGAATTTAAATGAAACTTTAAAAAAAATTATCATATTTTTTTTTTTCAAAAATAAAAACAAAAAAAAATTTCTAAATAAATCAAAATGGTGAAAAATTTAGAAATAAAAATTGTAAAATAAAAAATAAATTCCAAAGATAAAATTCTAGGTAATTACAAATGGATGATTATTTAAAAAAATTTTAGGTGAGAAGATATTTTTAATTTGGCTTAAATGGTGGAATAATTAAATATATTTTTAATATAAAAAAACCAAAATAAAAATGATTAAACTTTGTTCCGACTAAACTTCTTCAAGAAAATAAATGTGATTTTTGAATACTCTTAAAATAAAAAAATATTTTTAAAAATTCTATCAGATTAATGAAAAAATCTTAAAGTTATTCTAATATTAAAATTAAAACCATTAGAATAATTTAAAATAAAATGATACCATCATTTGAATGGACATGTGAAAATGTTATAACATTTTTTATATGTAACCGAACTCCCTAATTTTATTTTGATTACTAGATCATAATTTTTTCTTTAGGAACTCTTAATCAAACTTAAAAACTCTTTAAAATAATAAATTTATTAGGTGATCAATCATACTTAATTAAAAAAAATTGATATTAATTTTTCTTATTAAATCTAACTATAAATTTACGGATCTATGACAATGTAAATTCGATGTTTTGTGCTGCCCTTTATGCATTCCCATCCAGTCATTTCCAACATCAAATATCATACAAAATGAATTGTAGTTCGATCGGTGGTAGTGCATTATCTTCTTAATTGTGGTGTCATTCCTCGGAAATATGGTATCAATGGATTCATCTGCATTACCTCTGAACAAAAATCAACTCATTTTCTTAACAAAAATCTCATACAGATCATGAAGATATCTAACTTCTGTCATCAAGACAATCTCGTACATGATAATTGCCGGGTAAAAAGCCCACCTTTAAAAGCTTTCTACCTAACTTCGGTAATGGAGATACCTGTCTCAGTTCAACTCTAGTTACAGTTAATAATGTGGCAGTGAAAAAGATAGGTTGGGTTGAGGATAATAGTTAACAGCACAATTACAAAGCGAAGTATTATATATCATTCATGTTCAAGAACCTGATGAGATGACAACAAAAACATCATCAATAGACCATTTTCTTGGTTCTGACTTTTTTGGAGGATTAATAATTGCACGCTCAGAATTTGCAAGGCGATGGCCAATAACTATTTCTTGTCGTTGGCGACCTCTAATCATTATATCATAAAAGCATAGCTCTTCCTGGTCAAATAAATAGAATTCTGCTGGTTTGATACACATCTCATTCCCCTGCAAAAAGGAAAGAAGCTAGCAATTTAGTAAAGATTTTGTATCTCTCATTTTGAAAGGATGGGATGTAAGAGTTACCTCCTCTGCAAACAGTTCCTCAAGAACACTATTTATTTGCTTGTCTTCAGCTACCATTGCCAGTGCCATGCTTACAAGCTCATTTGATAGCACATAATCACTGATTCTGGAGACTGATACCAGGTTCCTTGTCCTAGAGTCCAGAATTTCACTAATGATTATTGATTTATCTGAAGCTTGCTGCATTTCACGGATCCAAGAGCTGTGACAGAACCCAGTGAACCGTAAAGAAGTTGACTTTGTATCTTTGTAAGGAAGACGTTTAGACTGCAATCCACAAAGGAAGCAACATTATTAGTCATGGTCAGGAATTTCAACATGTAATGAGCCTAATGCTACTTCTAAAGATTGTTTATGCTACTTATTAAAGAAAATAAACAAAATCCTTGATTACTAGTTTCTTACTCTTTTAGTCTTTCTTATTTTGGTAGTTTGTTAGCATTTAATATCAATGAACTGGTTCCTGTGAACCTCTTTTAACAATCCATAATGAAGCAAAAAGATGCTAATTTAGATGGTAAGCTATCTCATATTATATAAAAACTACTGTATACTACTGACACAAACAAACTACCCAAACAAGAAAGAATAAAGATTAAGAAATCAGTGATAAAGGATTTTGGTAACCTAATTTGTTTGCATAAGCTGAAATACAGCATAAACACCTACCTGTATGTCTCGAATAAGGAGAAGGGTTGCAAGAGATCTTGAGTCTGAATGCACTACAGAGTCTTCCAGTGACTCATCTGCAAGAATTAAAATCTGTCCTTTAGAGTTAGTAATCAGTTGATCTATAATTGGAGTGAGTGACTAAAACAATAAACTAAAAAAAACAACGTCGAAGCTGGAGCTAGGTAAAGAAATTAAAGGTACTTTGGAGTTAGGCCAAATGGAAAAGGAGAGAGGATATAACAACTTACAGAATCAAAAGTCTCCAAAGGAAGGCTTTCTAAATGCCTTCTAATGACGGCATTTCCCTCACGGTGGACAAGTTTTATGTTGTCTAATCCAGAAATATCAAGTCCACCATCAATCAGTTTCCTCTCTCTTTCTTTTTCTGGAACTTCATTAAACATCCACAATTCTGAACCTGGGGCAAGAAAAGCCTCCAGAACCTGAAAAATTTAAACAAGGGTTCACATATCAAGCAGGATGTGACCGAAAAGAGTATCTAGAAAGTAGAAACTCCAATTTCTTAATTTTTCATCACTTTTCTGTTCCATAGTGTTGAATTACCTTGGTGTCTTTGTATGTAGATAATATAAGAAAGATTGACTTCTAATGCATCCTGAAAAAGGGGAATTGAGAAGTAATAGTTTAAAATTCTGAACAATAAGCAAGTGCATTACCATAATCATATCATCAATATCACGCCGCCAGCCACAGAATAGTATCTTCTCTGGATATTTTGGAAGTTCAGGAACATTTCGGAAAGCAATTCTATGCACCTGCATGCAGTATGTCAAATAAGAAAAGACACCTTAAGGACCACTGTTCCATACTTCCCGTATAAAGAATTGAAAGGATTAAAGAGAAAACACTAGCATTACTATGAATAAATGCTGCTTAGATATGCTTTTTATCAACTAAATATGAAATTAGTTTTGAGAATCCAGCCTACATTCATACATCCATTTTCCAGCTATAGAGATAAAGAAAAGAAAAAAATACCTCTGGAAGGGGAGCAGGAGCATAAGTGTCATCATCCTCAGCTATAACAAGGATTTCATCCCCTTCTTTTAGTACATAATTATCATCTGGATTTAGGATTATCCTCCCACTATCTGCAGCAACCTTGACTCCACAAGGAATTGCATCAGGAAAGGAAATGAGCACATCTTCAAATTCCATACCATCCAATTGAGGCCACCTTTTGATGTAAAACTCATCATTCTCAAACCCCAATATATCCTCCCATATCTGACAACAGAAAACTCAAAATCAAATGAAAGGAAAAATATTTATTTTCAGTTGATAAAAAATCTGCAGATAAGTGTTTGCTTAGAATTATGAAGATATACTATCAATCCAAAGGTTATAAAAATCTAAACAAAGACTAGGCATGTAAATCATAGTATTCATAATACTCAAATAGATAAGATGACCATTAATAACGTTGGACCACATATAGGAAAAATTTTAATGATACAAAGAGGAAAATAGCATGAAGGATTAAAAGTGGAAAGCTTCTACAAAATTGTGAAATATGCAACTATTATATTGAAAGAAATGTGTGAGGACAAAGATACCATCTTTTTTTCTGAAAAGAATTAGTTGGCAGTTAAGCAACAATCTAAAGATGAGAACAGCCTGGTGTGAATATTGAGGTGGATAAGTACCAACCACAACATTGCAAAGGGCCCGTAAGTACAAGATTAGGAGTCATGCTAGTAGAGTCTAAAGTGCTAAAAGGACAGGGCAAGACCAAAAATAATGCAAATTGAGGTTCTGAGAAAAGCAATTTGGCACATAATTTGGAAAATAGTCTAATCATTTTTCCAACCAAGATTTATGTAGCCAAACGAAAAAGAATGTATAAGACCTCATCCAAAAATAACAAAATTTGCACAATTTCATTGGTAATTACTATAGATGTACTTCAATGAAAAAGAAGACCTCGCTGACCTCAATGTACTTCATATAATTTAAAAGTGCAATCTAAATAATCAAACAACCTGTGCCAGGCCAGGTTGCAGGGCACACTGTATCATCAAGCGCCCAATCACATCATGTGCAACAACAGTTTCTATGAGATCTCCTCCAACAAGCTTCACCAAAGGCTCATTGTCAAGGTCACTCATCTCAACCACAACATGACCCCCCAAACCCTCCTTTACTCCAGTTAGACTAAGCACAATCCTCAAGGCACGTGCATCACTCTGGTAACAGGAATACAGAATGATTAATGTTTCCCGAAATAAAAGAAGTTGAGAAACATGATGAAATTGAGAAGTCTGAGCAACCTGATCTGCATTTTCATCAGATGCCAATACAATGATGGCACGCGCTTTTGATACTGAGACCTGTAATCGTAGACAACATCAATCCAGATGTAGACAAGGGGGAAAATGATCAAAGTATACAAATAAAGGCAACAACCCACTTAATATTCTTCAGGGTTCATCTGGCATCCATTTAATCCTTAACTGATTTAAGCTCTCAACATAGTATTGGAAAATAAAAGTAAACAGTAAAGATGTCAAATTACCTTCTTTAAATCAGCCAGTATCAGAGGACTCCCACTCCTGCATATGACAGATGTCCCCATTAAGTCAAATTCCAGCTTTGCTATATCCATCTCCATTTCCTCCTTGTCTCTTTCTGCAAGAACGACAACAACTCCGCCACCAACACTTTTGTTTGCTATTGCAAGTTGCTTCAAAAGTGAACCCTACAATAAAGAAGATAATTTCTTAAACCCTGGGCATTCTATTCTATCTTGAAACCATCGACTTCAGCCATCTAGGGATTTAAATCACTTCAAGACTGTGTAGGAATAAAATCGTTCAGTTTGTCAAAAAAAAAATTTGTGGTACTCAAGGGAATTACCAATTTGTCACTCCATCCAAGAATTAATATATGGTTCTTTTCAATGACTTCACTCTTCCCCTTTCGGAGTGAATCAACCTTTTCTGATATTGCATCTGAGACAAGCCCAAGCATCATTGCAAATATCAGCATGCCTCCTGAACTTACAGAGACAGAAACAATCCTGGAACCAGCTCCAATACTATCAGCATGATTTCCAGAGTCAGCCACAAAAGTCCATGAAAGCCAAAGAGCTTCGGCAAGGCTGCCATCACTGACCGCATACAATGCCAAGCCACCAAATCCTATAAGAAATATTGTAGCAAAAAGGAGTGCAAGCAGCTTTGCATAAGGATATACAGAGAAACAAATATCCACCATATATGCAATTCTCTTCTTCAATGGAACCTCCTCATTGTTAGGCTTTGTTCTTTTGGAGATATTCTTTATTTGCGGAAGATAATCAAGATATTTGTACAACACAAAAGGCATGATGAGTATGAACACCACTGTATATAAAGCAACAGTTCTACTGTCAGCATTACCAAAAAAATTTAATGAACTATCATCTTCAGGCTGCAAAACTTCATTGCCATTGTTACTAACAACATCGGTTTCATCACAACATCTACGAAGGTTAATATTCTCTTCCTGCAAGCAGACATACTAATTACAAAATTTGATAAACAATTACCATAATCAAAGCTCCAGACCGAATAGCATAATATTATACCAAAATATCAGAAATTCTTATCTACAACAATGTTGGCTTCCCAAGACAAATAGAAACCAAGAACTCTGCGAAAAAATAGTTTCATTTTAGTTAAATTTCTAGAAAACAAAAAACAAGAGCCGCCAGCTTCAAGTTTTTTCTCCATTCCAGTTCCTTGCCACCTAAGCAACCAAGTAAAAAGTCCAAATTCTCTCAAAATTTTGGTTTTCAAGACAGAAAATACGCTTCCATCAAGTGGTTGATATGGTTATTTCAATCAGTCAAGAAGACAAAATCATTTGAATATGTGATAACATTGAAAGCAATGTATTTTAAAATTTTAATTTTTGTTAATCGCAAAAGCATGATTTTATTTTTATAGGAAACAATTATGTTTCCTATAAATGAACGTACCTCTAGTCTCGCAACTCTATTCCGCAGGTGAATTACATAACTTACAGGAAATATACAACTGAAAATAATCTGCATAAAAAATAATACAAAAAAAAAACAGTAAAATTACTGACTTTCTTTGTTTGCTTAAAAAAAAAAAAAGCTTTTTCCATACCAAAGAAAAGATGAAATAACGCTTTAATTTCATCCCTCGAATCCTCCTCGCGGTCGACCAACTCACCGAACTCGATTGAGTTATCGTCGTCGTTGAAACTTGACTCGCCACAGTTTTCACTTCCTCCTTGTTGGTAGGAGTGCCAGTCAGCTGCTTCTCATCAACCGCCTTATGCTGCTCCCCATCCGCTAATAGCTCCCCACCTCCTCGACTCGGCGACTTGGGCGCCACCTTAACGGTCACCACCCGATTCCTCGCCGCATGGGGCCGAAGAAATGAAGGATACATCCAATCTCTATCGGAGAAGTTATTTACAACACCACTGTTATTAAGATTACTACTAGTAACATTGCTTCCGTTGGAGGATGCAACGGTGTCAATGGAGGCGCGGCGATCGGAAGACGAAGGAAGGCTGGTGACGCGACGAACGGCCGGGAAAAGCGGGCCCGGAAAGTGTGGGGTGGGCCGCAGATCATCCGGTGATAAAGTTTTGAACTTCTTCAGTACCGGTGGCCTCTCCGCTTTCTTCCGGCTAGGGTTTCGCGGCGGTTGAGTTGAAGTTGATTCTCCAGAGCCCGCGTTGCTTGGCATTTGTTTCTTTTTTCCAAAATTTAGAAAAATTGGAAACAAAATTAGCTTTCAAAAACAGAAATTAAATCAAGTGAAACAGCTGAATCCATTGGAAGAGATCTAGAATTGAAATAATTTTTAAAAAATCACTTAAAAAGAAAAAAAAAAGGTGTGAGATTCAGTGGTGAGCTTGTGTTTCTGTTTGTCTTTTCTTTGGTATGTTAAACTTTTTTTTCATTACTGAAAAGATATATATTATTATATGATTGAAAGGGGTGGGATTGGGTAGATCTGGGCCGTTGAAAAGTGGGGAAGGGAGGATCCAGGTGGTGACCAAAGACAGGTATCAGTTATTTTAGTTTGTGTTTGGAAGTTCAAAGGTGAAAAGAAAATTGCAACAGTCAGTCAGGTAGCAAAAGGCACATTCATTTTTTTGGTAAGAAAAAAAATTACTTTCATGTAAAGTAGAAGCAATTAGTAATTGACAAGTTCTAAGGAACATTCCAAGATTTGGCCAAAAAAAAAATGGACATTCCAAGAAATTGGCTTCTCCGCAAATTTTGGCATCTGCGGCCCGCTACTTCTACCGTGAAAATAGGGATTTATGTTTTTCTCTCATCTTAGAAAAAATGTGGAGTCTTACCTTTGTTTTTTTTTTTTTTAAATTGATTTATAAAAAATCTTAAATTGGTTAAGGCATGTGATATTTAAGAAAAAGAATAAAATATGGAAGCTTTAATTATTACTAGAAAGTAGATGTTCACAAAATGCTAGTTAAAAAATTAAACTGTTACTACAAAATATTATATCTATGTTATTCAGTGTAATGAGGGATAAAAAAAATTATGAAATTAAAGCTAAGCCTGGCAACCTCTATTGGTTGGTACAGGGAAAAAGTATCCTAATCGAGAGGGGAATGGTGAAATCGAAATGCTATGATTAATGTTTTGGTTGGAAATGTTTAGCTCATTGTCTTTCTCTTCATCTCTAATGGCAGCAGCTGGTGCATAGGGAGAATTGTTTACTATCCTGCAAAACAAACACCAATTAAACTATTAGCAGATGTTCTAAGATTTGAAGTGTTGATAATCGCCAACCAAAATCCATGACTCTGATACAGTATCCAGGCTATTATAAATCAAGCTGAATGAACATGCCTGCAACGACGTTTTTCAAGAAAATGCTGGAGTGAAATTTTTTGTGCAATTGGAAGGTCTGAAAAATAGGCAACCAAAACTAGCTGGTCAACCTCAAAGTAGTAGAAATTGATTTCAATTCTATGCATCATCAATCAAATTACTGTTTGATTCTTGGTATAGAAACTGCAGTTATACCATACCGGCTTGTAGCTTGCAAGAAGAAGATTCTACGTTGGGTCGATCAAGTGGTGTTTTGCCTCTGTTTTGGGCTGTTCATTTGGTATAGGCCTTTCCGAAGAACTCTGTCCCGCTAGGAACATGATGGCTTGGGCCTGAATTATAATAATAATCTTTTTTATTTTATATCAAACAAAATAATAAAAGCAAAAGTTACTCTATTTTTTGGTACAAAACCTAAATATAATTTTTTTAAAAAAAAAGAGTTACAAAAGCATGTAAAGAATCATGGAATTGGGTTGCAGACATTATTATAAATGTTCTAACCTTTTCAGTTGGAACATCATCAAACACGCTGATAAACCCATTATAGAAAATTGTTAGTTGTGCTTTTGAAGACTTGTCACCAGTACTTGAACTTGTTTGTATTTCATCACACAACAGCAAAATGTGGCCATTTCAGTCATCAATTACCACCATTTATATATATGGACCAAGCTGATATTTGAGGTTACTGCAAGGAAGGGTGTCTACGTACAGTTCTGGGTTGATCAAATGCAGTCTTACAATGTTAATTAATAAGAAAAAGAAGGGTTATATATTTCATTCGAGTAGTTACCTGGTTGTTCCTGGTAGTAATTCTCGTTCCAGAAGAGAAAGGAGCCGAGAAAAGTTACAGTCAAACTTAGATGGCACTAAAGGAGTGAGAGCTCGAGGTGGAGACTCGTTCTTGATGACCTCTGATTCTTCCTTGTTGGTTTTACCAACGTTATAGTTTTGAGATTTTGTGAGAAGATATATCCTAAACAAAGCAACTGTCTGAGACATGTCATGATCTGTTTGCTTTGAGCCTCTCGTTTTATGCTCACTTGTCTCAAATCTAACAATATCTACTCCTTTTGCGTTGAATTCATTTGGTCCAAGACCTAACAGAGAAAGTGTTGTTTACTTGAAAGAAGTGATCAGTGATCAGCTCTTCTCTACTTCTCTTACTGCTTACCAATTAAAGCCGAAATTCGAAGGAATTGAGCTGGCTTATATCAGGAGAAAGATTGGAAATAACGCCTGGGGACGACGATGCATGGGAGCTGGCTTTCGATGGCTTCTAAATGGTTTAACTTTATGGAGATGTATGTATGTGAAGAGAGATATGGTAATTCCACCAGGAAGTGCAAGCTTTTCCGTGCAACTATATATGTAGGCAGCTGGCAGTTATCTTTTGGCAGACAAAACTGTTTCATCATCTCCCTCCAAATATATTAAAATCTGTTCTTTTTTATGCTTCATTTACAAATTTTAAGTTCAAAGATGAAGATTTCTCCAAAATTTATATATTATTATAAGTTGATTTCATATAATAATATTAATTTCTTTGCATTACAATATGTGTCATAAAAACATTATATATATTTATCTGATATTATTAGAATTAATTTATGCACTTTTTGATATTCATCAATATTTGTTAATAATGAATTTTGAAAATGCTGAGAATTACAGGTATTGGTATTTAAACTCTAAACCTATTGAATATCACTTTTTAAGATCATTATATGAATCAAATAATCGTTTTACAAAATAAAAGGCATAATGGAAGAGAATGTGATCTGCACATGGATGGTAAATTGTTAATGAGTTTTTCATCCATGTCCGGTCAGCAAAGAGCACCAACAAGAAAGATAAATCCCAAGTTATATTATTCATGTATTTGTTTACGTTGTAAATTTGTAATAACAATAGGATAAGGCAATGAACCAAGGAACTTATGTCTTCATTCTCTTTTTTTGGAGCTATTATTATTTTGGACGTGCCATTGTTTCCTAGTGTTTGTCTTGTTTAATCTTGTCAAAACCAAACCCTTTTCATTCCAACCAGAGAAAGCAACGCCCATCAATTTTTACAGTCTGGAAGCCACATTGTTTAACAAGTAAATTAACTATATATTCAAATCATATTATCTGCCTTTTTTAAAAAAATAAAAAAACACAGTTATACCCTCAGTTTTCATCATCAAGTTCCCGATGGCTAGTTCTGGGATCAGAAGAATTAATCTGTCTCCTGCCTGTTATATTTAATCACTGCAGACATGGCCGGGGTTAATGCTACCGACGGAGAGTTGAAATGGGATGTTGCCAATACCACACCGAAGGATGAGTTTTGCATGCCAACCTGTGTAAAAGGAAGTGTCATTCATATGAGAGTTTCACCAAAGCTAAACATGCTTATGACAAAGAAAAGAGAGAAAAGAAATAATTGAAATACTTGGAATTTTATCAAACAATTTCTGGTAAAGAGTGCAATTGTTTTATGATCCAATAGGTTGTTAAAGTTCCACCTGTAAAGGATCAATATAAACTTGCATACATGTCAATTGAAATTGCTCGCCGCTCTGGTTCTTTGAGTCTACAGATAGCTGCTGATATATAGCTGCAGATAAACAACTCCTCAATGTTGGCCAAAAAATAAAAAAACTCCTTAATTAAATAGAGCAAAATTCAAACAATTAATAGTTGATCTACCTATTTAATTGCAGTTTATTGTTTTAGGTTTCACAAATCTTACAAAGGATCGGTGTTGGATCGGTCTAAGGTCACAAAAGAAAAATGAAAAGCTTTCTAGTTCAAGTACAGAGAAAAAGTCAAAAACCAATTAGCAGAGTCAAACAACAAGATAGAAAATCAGAATGAATCTAAATGTAAAAGGTAAGTTCATCCATTTCTTAGTTTCATCTTAATCACCATACAAATTCATATCAGAAAATAAAAATGAGAAGCAACTCTTTGCCCAAAAAGAAACCAGCAAAATGTAACAACAGCACAGAAAGTATTACAACACCCAGCTTTCCAGACAATATTGATTGTAGGTGATCAATTAAAGAGGCATCAGAAGCCAAAGATGCATTAACCATCGAGGACTTAAAATGGACAACATTTTCTGAGAAAATGGTGAAAAGGAATACCAGAAACCAAAAGTTAGAGGAATAAATGAAGGTGACACAAGAGAGGGAGAAAGTAAGTATCCAACAGATATGTTTCATTACGAGAGAACCTGCATGCAAGTAGTGATGAAGCTAAAACAGCGAATATGGGGGACAAATGGTGAAACAATTTTCACCACCAAAGGAAATGAGTTCTGTATATAAGAACCTAGCAGAACTGGAGCGACAACCACGTGAAGAAGACATAATAGGAACTATGAATTCCAAAAGAAAAAAAAAAGATACACATATGGCATGCATTTTGACATATCAAAGACAAAGTCCATGTGACTGAAGTGTAGAGTTAGCTAACCTGCAGGGTGCTGATGGAAACTCCAATAGCATCAACAGGAACATAAGTTCCTGTCAGAATCATAGTCAAAAGAGGAGTGGGAATTAGCGCTCCAAGAATGGTGCAAATAGTCATTACAGTTGATAGTGGAACATCCCCTCGAGCAATTAAGGTCACCTGTAAAACTAATTCAGCAAATAAAATGAATGTATCTTTAGAAAAACACTTATTTGGGTGCTCTAATGTATCAGCAGACTCTATTAAATGTCCATAACAAGAAGAAAAAACATCTTCAAAACGCAAAATTTTCGCAAAAAGGGCTTCCTACAAAGTTTGAAGGTATATAGTTGAGGAAAAGAACATCATGGGTAATGAAATTCTTACCACATTTGATGCAGCACCTCCAGGGCAACAAGCAAGTAAACTCAAACCAACAGAAAGAGATGGTGAAAGCCCCAAAGTTTTGCTAATAACCATCCTAAAAATTGGAATAATTGTGTACTGAGCAACACATCCAAATAGAATCTGATGAAAGCATGAAAAAGAAAAAAAAATGATCATAGGCGGCAATTATGTGATAAACAAGATTAGTCTGTGCTCTTAAGTTAAAAGTTAAACCATCTACCCCTTCCCATAGGATGAAAACAATACCATTACAGAGGTATAGACAATTATTCAGCGTTAGCCAATCCATCAATGCCCCAGTACACTATTTACGGTTCCAGTCAATGGCACTAATAGGCATACTACAGAATGCAGACAGACAGTTACTATAAATACATTTAGTAAATGTATTTGAAGGAAAAACAAAAAGATGCGTCAATATTTGCAACAAAATTCTCGCTAAATTCTATTAAACTGCCAGAAAATCAACTCAAATTGAAAAATGAAGTATACCCTCCTCTTAGTTTCCATTAAAGAAATTAATTACAAGTAAACAAAACCATCATTGTTATTAACGAAAACTCACAGAGAGAGGCCTTTGGATGAAAAAATTGAGCCAAGTCCTTGAGTTCCAAAGTGAGACCCATGGCCAACATAATCAGCCGAAGTGACAAGCTATATGAAGCAGGTCCTCTCTTCACAAATCACGCAAAAGCAGCTGGTTTCAAGCAAGCCACGATGCCACCAACTGTCACATACAAAGGGTACAAGCTTGCAGCAGTAGATAACATATTTTCCCATCTGGGTTTTGCTGGAGTGACAGAGAGGTGCTCAGAGTTCTCACTGACAGACTTGACTGTAGGCAGATAACTGAATTTTAATGGTGAGGAAATTATGGGTTTTGGGTTTGAAGGTGAATTTCAGATGGTTTCGTGGCGTTGAACGGAAGGGACTCAACCTTAAAGCCAGGGACATAATGAATCAATGTTTCTTTGATTCAACTGAAATAGTAAAGAGAGTAGAATTACATTTACTTCACCTGTTTTGAAACTTTGGAAGTTGAACTATCAAAGAACAGGAAAATCTTGTAAAAAGTTGGGTTAGAGACAAACTAACATGAGGCTGTTGGAGCCATGGAAGTAAGTGGTTGGGTGTTGGAATCGGGAACACATTCACATCAAGTGCCATGTAATGTAAGGACATGAAATCCACGAGGCAGATGTAGGCCAGTCAATGCGGCATGCAAGTTCTGAACGTGCACTCCTTTCATTTTACTACATTTTAAAATTAGAAAAGAAAAAAAAATCCTTCTATTATAATTTCAATGTTTTACTTTTACCAGGTCCATGGCCTTAGGTTAGGTATGCCACAGAAGTCATAAAAAATATCTGAAATATTTTTGATAAATAAAAATTTGATAAAAAAACATTAATATTAATTTTCTTTGAATTACGTAGTTGCCTTGTTATTACTTTTGTATTTTTTAAATCAATTGTGACTTTTATTAGTTTTTTTTTTTATAGTGAAATGTGAATACACAATATTTGGTGAAAAGAAGTTTAAGTTAATTTAATAGGTGTTTTCATAACCAAAAAAAAAAAAAAAATTAATTGGTATGCTTTGTTCTCCATAGATATATGTAAACAATTGCCTAATTTTGAGGTCGACATGCACCTATGTGTAGGTAAATCTAACATGTTCTTGTTATAGTAACATTAAAAAATGGTAATCAAAAACTCTAATCAAATTAATAGACATTAAACAAAAAATCAAAATTAATTACAATTGCTGTAAAATTGAATCTGCAATGGAGAACCATTGATTATTTGAGGAGCCAAAAAATAAAAACTACTACTTACAACTATTTGGTAATTGTTATTAACGTTAATTGAAACATGGGTTATTGCTGACACGCCTTGCCCAATAGCTAGAACCTGGTTTTCCAGGCAATGCCTGCCGCCCTAGTTGGTGGAAGCATGGGTGAGGATGGTCTTATTAGCATCGGATATGGCAGCCCCGGAAAGTGTAGGGGCGTCAGTGCTGCCACTTGCGCCTTGGTTTTCCTTAACATCGAGGTGTCCTTCGCTGCCGTAGGCCTTGCGCTTGTAATCCTCCAAATCTTTGTACTTGAGATAGGGGCTGCTCTCTAAAGGTAGCCCTCCCAGCATTCCATGCTTGTGGCTCTGGCTCTGGCTTTTTCCCTTTGGGGAAGTTTGTTCCTTGGCGTTAGACATAATTCTCTCTCTATGTTCCTGCTTCTGCAATTACTTTTAAGCCTGTTTTTCTAAATTTTTTTCCCTTTGATTATTTGGAGTTTAATTACCACTTATATGCATGAAGCAAAAAAGAACCATGTCCATGAACCTTGCAAAATTCAAGCTAGAGTCCTGCGTAAACAAATGAAGTTGACTGTTTCAACTCGTTTCCATCACCGTTCAAGTTAAGGATAAGTCAAAATTAGCAAGTATTGTGTTTGTAGGAAAAAAATTTTGCTACCATTTTGGTAAAAATAAAAATATTATGTTGAATTCACATTAGTTTTACTCATTTTTTAATAATAAAACAAGACTCCATACGAGTAAACAAAATGGGAATAAACATAAAAGTAAACATTAAACAGCAAAGTGGAAAAAAAATGTTTGACATTAATCTTACTAACTTGTCTAATTTATTCAATTGATCAAATAAACAATGTTTGACTTTGAGGTGTTACATTCTCTATTCCTGAAGAAAATGAAGAAATTAATAAACTAGAGAGAGAAGGGGATGAATAACTATTTGCCAGGTGTGAGCGGGTAGCCAATTCCATGCCTTCTGGTTGGAAAAACCACAAATAACAAGGCGCAAATGAGCCCAATTCCAACCGGTGCAATGTTCAAAACCTCCTGCGTTTCATGTTTTGGTGTTGGATAGAAGCAGTTCAAGACATTCTTCTCCCTCAAAGCCACGGCACCGAACACAAGCACGGACAAAACTGCGTGAACTCCATCAATGAACTTGATTCTATACTTGGTCAAATCAGGCAGGCCTGAACCTGTAGGATCAGGATAGTCAAACAGGAACATTCCTTTGAATGTAGCAAAACCATAATAAACTTGTCCATCTGATGACTTAACGCTGTCTGTGAAGGAAGCAAGAAAGCAGGAAAGGGCAAGGAGGAAAAGGAGGATGAGCGTCATGGGGCGAGTAGCGGAATCACACGATCCGTTGTTAGTAAAAATTGGCACGAGGAGTTGGAAGGCTAGGAGCGTGCCTGTAGGAAGAAGGTTGGCTAAGTTTGCCGTGCTTGTCAAGGTTTGCGAGATCGCCCGTTGAGATAAAGTGGGTGGCTTTGATGGTGATTTTGGTGTTTCAGGCTCATGGTTGTTCCTTCTTGTTGTTGGTTCATCTGATGATTGAGATGGTTGCCTGGAAACTATAGATCTTGCCCTCAGAGATGTTTCCGACATCGCTTCCAATCACAAGAATTCCAACCCAAACTGCTGGTCACGGCGGTTGTTACGACGGAGATATATGCTGATCAAAGTCTTTGTTACCCGAAAGAAAGTCTTGGCGTGGTAGGTTGGAGGCGTCTGAAATGTGGGAGTTTACGAAAGGCTAGTAGTTGCCACAAATATATAGGCGTTAGGTCATGTTGCTTAAATCTTTTTCACAACGGTTGTTTCCACGGAAACTCCTGTTAGTCTAACAGCGTATAGACTTGATCAACTCCAACACCTATGTGCTTATCTCGTATCTAAATCATTTAATCAATTAATTGACGTCAAATGATCATCAAAATTGACATATTCTCCTAAGAAGAGGCAAATTTCCTAAACACCAAGCATAACCAAACTTTTGGTACACGTTTTATATGATGTGGCCAGAAATTTTGGATATAGCTTCTAGATTTGATTAAGCATTGTAATAAGATTGTTTTTGCATGTAGTAATATTGTTTGACCACGAAAATCCCTTGCATTGGTTTGCTTCTAACGGATGTTCTGATGGGCATACAGTTGAATAAATGTCTTAACACTATAGTTTTCGTCTTTCTTAAGAAGAGACAGATCAAAGATTCCCTTTCAATTGTATTTAAGAGATTTTAAATTAATTAGAGAGCTTTGTTACCAGAAAAAAAAAATCAGCCCAAGAAGCAATTGATGTGGCAAAAAGTTTTTAGTAATGCTTTCCAAACTTTTTTTTTGGTTAATTGATATGGAAGGTGAAATTGAGAATGAGAATGATTAAAAATGAAAAGAAGTTTTTGTATTCATCCAAAAAAGAAAGAATGAAAAACTTTTATGGCTTAATTTAGTAAACAATTTTCATTTTCGTTATACATCTTTATCAACAAAAAGAAAGGAACTTTCTTTTTTGATAAACTTTTAATGCCAAATTACTGATTAATTGAAGCAAATAAAAAGGCATAATCCGACCTATTATGAATGACATCGTTTGTTATATCTTATTATTATTATTATTATTATTTGCCCGAAAGCAATTAGATTTAAATTTAAACATAATAATTTAAAATATGATATAAAAATATAACATAATATAAAAAATATATAAAAATAATATGATATAAAATTTTAATAATAATTATATATAAATTTCATAAAATAAAAAAATATATTTTATATTTTTATAAATTATAATATATATTTTTATATAAAATATTATATAAATATATAAATTTTAATATTTTATGCTGCAAAAATTCATAAATCCGATCCCATCTAAAAGTATAACATTTGGGTCAAGTGTATATATATATATATATTATATATGTATGTATGTATGTATGTAAAGCATGACAACGTCGGAAACTCATAAATCAAAACGCCGAAACGCGTACCGTTAACATAACGTTAATCTCTGTCGTTACTTGAGAATTACTTACAGTCGTGCACCCCAAGACAAAGATAAGACTCTGTTTCACTCTGTTTTTCTCTTACAATATTATAAAACAAAACTTTTATTTGTACACCTTTCAAAAGAGTACTTTTTTTATTTAAATTTCGTTGATTGCTTAACCGCCCCGCCATTACTTTCTTGTTCAGGAATTAGACCAAGATTTACCCAAAGTGCGATTTGAATTTTGCTTTCTCTTTATTTGCTTATGCTAATTCTATCGTTTCTTGGGGGTTTTTCAGAATTGGTTTTCTGGGTATTTTAGAATAGGAAATTTTATGAGGGAAAAACGTTTATGATGTTAGAAAAAGAAGTAACATTTGGATTAATGGAATTGCAATTGATTTGGTTTGTGTTATCTTATGATTGGTTGTAGTGTGTAAGAAAGGACCAGTTTTTGTTTAGACAAATGAAGCGAAAAAGAAGGCATAAGAAAGGAAATAAAACTAAACCCAATGCTGCTTTGGTGGTTCCAACTGAGGCAGCTTTGAATGTTGTGAGAGTAAATAGTGAAGATAATTCTGTTAATGGTGAATATGATTCTAGAATGGAAGTTGATACTCCTTCATCAACCGGAACCAATCAGGCATTAAATGTAGCTAGTATAAGTCCCGATGGGTCTATTGATAAGGCTGTAGGAAAGTCGATTGGTCGTGTCAAGGTGAAGCTCAAGACATCTTCCAAAGCATTGGAATCTGATGTGCCATCACATAGTGATACTAGCAAGAGTGGTTCGCAAGTGGGGTTTGGGAGACAAGTTGTGGTTAATGAGAAAATGGAAGATAATGTTAATTCATCGGCAGAGATGAAAATGGGTGTTTCTAGCAGTGTGTCAAGGAAAGCTGCAAGTATCAAGATTAAGTCATCAAGGGTGTTGGGTGGTTTAAATGTTAATAAGAGTGGTAATGCTGTAGCAGCGGAACCTGAGAGTTCTTTCCAGAAACAAGTAAAGATGCCTCAACAAGGTTCTCGGTATAATAAGCAAGAACTAGATTATGCTTTGACGGTATGTTGGAGGTTTAACTTTGATTATCATTACTAGATATGTAAATAATACATTAGTACTCGTAAATTACTCGAATTTAATTTGAATAAAACCCGAATTCGATTCGATTATTATCAAGTTGAGCTCGAGTAGTTTGACTCATCAATTGAACCAAATTCAAATATTTTTATACACTACTCGAGTAACTCGCGAGCTTAATCGAATTTTTATATTTAAATATATTTTTATTATTTTAATTAATAAAATATCTCAAATTCGAATTCGAGCTCGAGCATAAATAATCGAATTATTGTCGAATATACGAATCAAACTCTTATCGAATATACTAATCGAACAAGCTTGAGTAGCTCGAGTTAAGAAAATGAAACTCGATTGAATTCGAGCCGAGTATTGAGTTGCGAGTTGGGAGTAGAGCTCGAACTTAAGCTTCTCACTATATTGACTCAACTCGGTTTGATTACACTCCTAATCATTACCACTAATTTTGTTTTTTTTTTCTCATTATTCCGTTCCTAAATTAATGTTTTTCTGCCAATTGTGGTTGTTTGTTGTTTCCTCTTTCCTAGGTGATTAAAAAAGCGATGAAAATGGAAGCAGCTGCTCCCTTCAATGAGCCTGTGAACCCTGAAGCTCTAGGGGTACCTGTAAGCATGAATAACAAGCTATATTTATAGCCTAGTGATACTAAGTTTCAAACTTTTGCAGCATCTTATTCTTTTTTTTTTGTTTGTAAGAATCAAGAGAGAGGTCTTTAGATGGTAGATAATTTCTTCAGGGCTTGACGATCAATTCTCTTGAAGCATTGTGGCTATTGATACTGTTTCCCTAAGGGAGTTAATGGATAATTTCTTTCAAGCCAATGGTTTTTCTAGTAATTTTTGTGCAGCTCCTACTATATGTGGCTTAGTTACTTAGATGATTCATTTATGTATTGCCTTATGCCTTATAGCTTTCGCATTCCTATTTTGTTAGGTCTAACAAAACATGTTTTATTTCTTTGTTTCTTTCTTTTCTGTATGAAATAAGAACTATTTTGATATCACAGAAGCACCAATAGATTTTGGAACAATATGCAGCAATCTTGAAAATGGTGACAAGTACACGGATTCAGAGGATGTGTTTAAGGATGTACTACACATTTGGGATAATTGTTGCAAGTCCAACAACAAAGGAGATGCTATTTTGGACCTATTGAGGCGAGTGAAGAAGAATTTCATGAAGTATTGGACAGCAGCAGGATTATAGAATGAACAGTCAAGGGGAACAAATGGTGAGGTTTCATGTTGACTTGTGCTACATAGCAGTTGATGCATTTTGTTTTTCTTTTGCTGAATTTGCTTATGCATCTGCCATTTTTAATTTTTCAGGAAGGTTTTTAATTTTTTTCTTTATCACATTTATGATGTTATTGGCATTTCTGATCATTGTGCTAAAGACAAAACCTCCCAATATTGGTCCTTTATCTGAATTTTTTTTTTCTATATGGAGCTAAGGATTACTTTGGTATCGTAAACATGGCTACCGGAAGTATTTATTTCCTTTGTGACAGGTGCCGAAGGAAGTGAAATCGAGGATGCTGCACTGTCCAGTCAGGGTAAAATGCTGATAAAAGCCTGTCAATCAAAAATGAAAAATCGAAAACACGGGTATGTTGTTAGTGATGTTTTCCCTTTCCTCTCTTCTGTGCAATGGTATTTTCTGGACGGTTAGTTTCAACTGCATTAAACATTCTTTTTATTAAATATTTTTTTCTTATTTTTTTTCTCCTTTTCATTTTGCAGAAGGCGCCAAGAAAAGTGATTATTTATGTGCTATATATGTCTTGAAGCGACACAAGAGAGAGCGTGAGGCAAATGCTCAAATGGCTAAAGGTCAGAGTGGAGTCCAGGATCTCCATCACGAGGTATGCTGCTGCTAATTTATTCGACTAATGCTCAGGTTTAAGCCTAAATTGATCAGTAGAAAAGTTGCCTTGTTCTAAACAGAAGATTAACTTCTCTTTGCCATTTATGTAGGAATCTTCACCTGTTGATAGTCCTTATGGTGAGGATTCATCATTAAGTATGGATGGATAGGTGGACCCAGATGCAGATGCAGAGGTGGAAGGTGGAGGAGAGAAGGTGAAACGGGAGGTGTCTGAGCTGCAGTATAGCCATATGGAGGAGAGGTATGAGGAGGAGGAGAATGAGGAAGAAAATGAGATAAAGACTATTAACAAATACGAAGGTGAAACAAAAGAGCAATCACGGTTCAGAGATAGTTTGTCAGAGGAGCCTAGTAGTAGAAAATCTCAGCCTGAAACAGTGGAGAAGTCTAGTGCACTAGCCCTAAACCTGAAAGGATATACTTCAGCATAAAATGAGGAACAAAGTAATGCAGTTCAGCAACAGAGAGACAAGGTATTTCTGTTTCCCCACTCTCCCTTTGTTGCGCATACACATTTTGCTTTTGTATGATATGCTACTATGCATTTAGTTGATGCACTAGTTAATGGTGTTGATGTAATTACAGGGAGTCACGAGAGAGACAACAAAGAGCTAAAATGTTGGAGAGCTTCCGCTTTGAAAATCCCATGCTCCTTAACTTATGTGGCATTCTCTTTCCTGACAATAACAAGTCTGTTTGGAGTGGCCCTGATTCATTGGTTCCAAATCGGGGTTCTCGAACTAGTCCAATTCTTGCAGCTATTGAGACTTTCTTGAAGTAGATTATTCTTAGAATGCCTTCTATGGTATTTGTTGTGGTGTTCCTTTTGTCAAGAGGATTTGACCAAACCGTGGAAAATCTGTCTAGGTAAAATAGGTGATTTGCGTTTGCTTGTGACATGCAAGTAGTCTATTTTACAACTGTAAATTATTAGATGGCAAGCATAAGAAAAATCGGACACTTTGAGAAAATCAACATTTTCTCTTCCAATCCAAGTCTAATTCTCCTTTCTCTAATATCATGTCCATTAATGTTTTTGCTGTAAACTAAAAGCTTATTCATGTCCATAATGCTTTGGAGGCTTGACTTTCGAATAGGAGAGAGAAAAATGGAGTACGATGCCGAATAATAATAATATAAATACATAATAGGACACAAGGTACAAAAAACAACGAGGAAACTCTCATCTCTGCTAAGATGATTGAAATAATCTGATCTGAAAAGCACACACTGCACGCAAAGAGGAAATGAAACTGAAACTGAAATGAAACAAATGAGTGAAACTATTTGACATCTCAAACCGGCATATTCTCAAGGACTGGTAGTTGAAGGTGGTGGAGAGAGGAATGGAATTGAGGGAATTGTAGTTGGTATTGTGGGGATTGAAGGCATGCTTGGCAGTGGTGGCAAGATAGCCCTTGGGACTGTTGGCAAGTTGGGAATGCTAGGAAGTGGAGGTAGCGAACCAGGATTAGTTAGTGTTGGCTGGGTGGTAGGCAAAGTTGGTATTGTAGGCTGTGTCAGTGTTGGAATAGACGGCAATGGTGGCAGCCCTGTTCTTGGCAAACTTGGTATAGGAGGCAAAGGTGGTAACTGTTGAAGACGACGAGCTGCTGATCCAACATTAATGCTGGAAAATGTCAACTCCATGAAGAAGGCTAAGATGAAGCAATTGAAAGAGGCCATTTCTAGTAATTCCAATTTATGAAACAAAGAGTGGAATCTTAATGTGTTGAGTGAGGAAAACCCAGGCTAGTGCTGAATTTATATAACAAAATCCATGGGGTTGGCTTAATCAGGTAGGTAATTTTGCATTCAACTCCACGTATGGTTGGGAAAATTGTATACATCAAATTTGATTGGCTTGTTAGTTCAATTCCTTATCCATCTCCCATTCAGCAGTTGTCAAAATATAGTTGTGGTTGGCTAGATCATACAACACCATTACTGTAAGTCAGCATACCAAGTGTGACAAATCTTTTTGGTTCTAAATTATTGTTAGGTTGTCTGCCACCAAGTTCTTGAATATAGGCAACCGGCTGGCCCCATTATAGAAGAATAACATTAGTGGTTTGCGGACGGCATCAATCGAAATGATGACTGCATATCCTTGCATGTTTTGATTGTTCTAAATATTTTTTGCTACAGGTATTCATTAATCATATTGATTTTTGAAACGTTGGATTCAGGGGTTCTTGCTCATACTTGATTCTTCTTGTTGTTTATCTTCTTCTTGGGCGCTGTGATCTTGGGCTTTAGGTATTTTTGAACGTCTAGATGGTTCAGGTATTGTATTCAGAGCATGCTTGGAATTTTCCATCATTTCATTTAAGTTCCCTTCTCAGTTTCTCAGCCTCCAAACAACCCTTCGGAACGGTATAGTTCTGGGTTTAGAGTTCTAAAAAGAGTTTTAAGTGATTTGGAACAGTTCAGACTTTATTCATCGAGCAACATGAAACACATTTAATCTATCTTCATATTTATTAACGCTTTAGTGGACTAGCAAAGAAATTAGCCATTTCAGAAATGAACCATACTCCGACAAATGGTAATTCAAACTCATTGCTTGCAAACTAAAAGGCCGAATAAGATGAAAAGGGGGCCAAAAAAAAAAAAAAAGGAGGAAGAAACCTGAAAACATAGGAACCCCTAGCTGATCTTAACTGCTATATAGTTGAATGGCTATGGTGCAGGGTCGGAAGGAAATGAACTTTCTATTGGGTTGTCTACAGCAATGCTCTTCCGGGTGAAGCCATTGGGGGAGAGATTTTTGGTAAGATTGATAAGGGATGTTGCATCTGCCTTCGTACTCCTCATGTCTTCTTCCACTTTCCTCTCCCCTGTTTTTGTTTGCTTCTGGATAAAGAGATTAACCCCAATATTAAACCATGAAGTAAGAAAATTACAAAATTAATCAATATTTCTGCAAGTTCGGGACCACAAAGATGCATGAATATAAACATGATACGTTAGTTTTACAGTCATATTTCCATGGCCATAAAGGAGATTGGGATTGGTGCCAGCAATTTCAACAAACTCTTTCATCAAATTGATTGAAATAACAATGATGTGTGTGCTTACGCGCGAGCATGTGTGTGTGTGTGTGAGAGAGAGAGAGAGAGAGAGCTCACGGTCAAATCATCTTCCTTGTATCGAAGAGTAGCTGACTTGTAATTCTTTTTAGCATTAGGAGTCTTCTCTCGATTTTCATAAAATCCAAAGTCATCCAACAGTGATGATTTTGCTGAATAACTTTTATAAATGTTCAGCATTTCTAAGCCTTGCTTGAGACCAATCTGCAGATTGCAATAAGAATAATTTTAGTCTTTATCGAAAATCACAACAATCATAAACCAACATACTGCACAAATTGACCTTCTCTAATAATAGACTAATACTACCATTCGATTACATGATCTTTGTTTTAGAAAGCAGCATAATGAGTTCATTGAATGATTTGGTAATACTTATACAACCAAGTCATCAAATGATTATGAAGATTTTCAAATATAGCAATAAGAGCTAAAGTTTGAACAATGATGAGAGAATCGCCTAGTTAAAGAAACTGCAGGGAGACTCAAAATAAAAAATAAAAAATAAAGTGTCTGCAAAGAGTGGAAATTTGATTAAGTTAATGGATATAGAACTTTGGAGACAAAAAAAGGAGTAGCTTTTGGAGCAAGAAAGGGATGGACAAGATTCAAAAAGTCAATTTTGCAATATTTCTTAACAGTCACTCAAATCTCCATTTTCAGACGCATTTTTAAGAAATGGACAAAACAATTTGATTTAACTCTACATCATTTTAAACACTTTCCAAAAAATAGCACTCCTTTTGGTTCATTCTGTACAAGGTGAAACCAAAGGACAAAGAGAGAGGAACATGGGAGAGGAAGGAAGAGAAGAGAAGGGTAAATCAATCATTAGCCCTTTACATGTTTTTGTAAACATTAGCTTGGATCTGAATAAATTATTTCATAACACATCAAAGCAAGAAACTAAACCCACAAAGCTCAATGACTTTCTACATACACAACCATACACAAAAAATGTTGTCAAGCAAGAGAAGTAACCAAAATACCTCCTGAGTGTCCCTGCTAAAAGTTACAGGTCTGTTCTCATTGTTTTCTAGGATGATGTGGCACAACTCCTTGTTAGGGATATCTTTTATAATATGCCACTTAACGGAGAAGAAACCATTCCACTTGTCCAGTTGCCAGAAGTCCATATCTTTATTGAAGTCTACCTTCCCAATCATCTCAGCTAAACCGACAAACTGCCCACTTCCATTAACCTGAAATTACAATGTCAAGAAACAACATAAGAATTCATAATATGCATGTAGACGGCATCCAGGGAATAAAGAGCAAGTTACCAACCAGAAAGCAAAAATAATCCCACAGTAAGTAATCCACCTGAGTGTCTAAAATAAATAGATATAATAGAACAAAGAATACCATGTAGATTGCAGCAGCCAAACTCAGCATAGATATTTTCTTTTCTGTTATTCAAACATGCCAGCAGACACAACCTACTTATAAAAGGATTTAAATATGTATTGATACAAATTAAAAGATCAAACAGCTTATTAATTAACTACAAGGTCTAGACGGTAAATCTCAAATCTGTCCGGCTCCACCATGGTGGTCAGATAAAACTACTACTTGTGATAATGTAAATTAACTAATTAAACCACGATGAGAAAATTTGGAATGAGGAAACTTTGATAGATTGAGGGAAATGCCAACAAGATTTGGAAACTCTTGTAAAAGTTATGTTTTCAGCTCACCGAGAAAAAGAGGAAGATCGGACATTTTGTGCCAGTCTCACTTTCTCTAGTTTCTGCTTCATAGAATGCTGCATCTAGCTTTCTATTGCCATTTGGAGTACTCGACCACACGTCATACTTCATCGATTTATGTACATCATCCTCACTGTAAGACTTAATGACAAAGAACTTCACATTTTCATACTCAGTTTGGAAATCTAGCAGGTTGTATTTATCTTTGTTTAAAGTAATTCCCAAGTCTTCCTTCTTGACAGAAGAATCCAAAGGTGCATCCCTATTAAAGGCCCTTGGACCACGAGTTAGTTCAGATGAGTTTTCAAAGTCAAAATCTCTGTTTGATTTCTTATATCTATCATTTTGATTCCATGCTCTCCCATTTGGTCTGTAGTTCATAGGACCATCATGTTGGAAAAAACCTTGCTTTTGGCAGTTAAATGAAGGAGATTTTCCAGCTGGGTAATATCCCTTATAAGATCCTGCTGATACATCAGAACCCCAATGAGGCCCCTGTAACACGAGTTCAGATAATCAAAACATTGAAATCCCAAGGGGCAAAAAAAAATGCAAATATTTGACAACCTTTAACTACAGCCTAATGACCTTCAACTTAAAAAAAGAAAAAAAAAGAATTGCATCATGAAAGCTGAACTTTGTGGATGATAGAAATTCTATAATAAGACAAGGAGATGTAGAATATAATGAGAGAAGGAGAGGTATAAGAAAGAAAATAATACAATTATAGAGGAAGGAAGAGGGAAGATACTACTAGCTTTCCCCAGAGCAATACCAGATACATTGACAATGGGTAGCAAAACAAAGGCTAACATCATTAAGAAAGTCTAACCATGTATTATTTAATCACAATCTTGGGGTAAATCTCATCAAGTGTACTAATCAAAATCCTAAAAAAAAAAATATTCAAATAAATGTTTCCTCTATAACATTCTGAATTATCTTTATAAATATACTAATCTAAACCACCAGTTAACAAATATATGCAACAACAGCACTATTCTTGTCTTATTAAATACTTTGAAACCATAAGCCTGCAAAAACTAGGAATAAAATCACGCAAAAGCTTTGCTTAATAATTCTCCATAAGACCATAACAAATGCCACCTCAAATACTTAAGTACCTTGCTTAGTTGTTTGTTAGGCTGCGTATAAGTAGATTTCGATAATTTAGTACCAAAGCCATTTGATTTCATAGAGTTGAAACCATTAGACTTTGTGAGAGAAGAACCCAAACCATATTTTACATTTCCAAAACCATCAAGGTTTCCATTTGAAACATCTGCAGCATATGTTGAATCCCATGGGTAACAAGGCATGGCTTCTGATCTAAAGGAAACAGGAGCGTGAAAATATCCTGATGAAAAATATGGTTGTTGACCAATAAATTGTCCATCAACACCCATTAGAGTCCCAGTTGCATATGGGTTATAGCCAGGCAGATAATAGACCAAAGAACCATTTTCCGATTGCACAACCTGGAGCAACAATCCAATAAAAACCATAACAGTCACCAAACTGAATTTGTAATTCCATGTTACTGGTAAAGTGAAGATGCAATAAATATGAAGGGATGATGGCATAACCAAATGTGCACTAAAGGAACTAGCAGAAGAACATACTGTATGTTGACCACTGGTATGAAAATAACCCTTATCATCAGATTGAGTGAATGACCCATCATATCCTGCAAAAAACCTTCCAGTCAATATGCTTTTACAAAATTAAATAGAAGTGCTTAATAGTTTATCTTAAACCAAGGCAAACCAAACTGTAGAAAAAGAAAAAAAGATTGACACATCTGCACAATAAATTTAGGGCCATATTTTTATTCCAAACATAATAAGGCTAAAGCCTAAAATTTTGTTTCCCTCAAAACATAATAAGGCTATTCTGACTCTAACATTGTGCAAGAATGCCATGTTTCAGTGTGAAGGACTGTTATATAATCTAACCTGGGTAGTAATAATTGTAAAAGCTAGTAGGTTGATCGACACCAGGCTCTCCAACCAAGTCTTTATGACTCTCACCTTTCACACCAAAAGAAGGATATGTTGAAGAAGATATCGTGTAAGTCGAGTCAGATGGCATTCCGAGTTTTCCAGGAGGCTGGAAAACATCAAAACATGCCCAAAGTGAATACAAGAAAACAAAAAGATTAAAAACATTTATCTTGCATCATCCCTCAATACGCCCACCATGCACTCTTGTAGGCTACAATGAAACAACTTTCCATGAAAAACTAAAATGCATTTCAGAAAGGAAACATCAAACTTCTGTCATACCATTCGCAAGATTCTTTTTCTTTCACCTACAATATGAATTTCCAGTACATACAAGTATAGCAAGGAAAATTTATTTCTGCCAGTTTTTATAAAACGAAATGGAAAAGATAAAAATGTTGCATCATTGTTGCCAACACATAATTTTCATAATTTTAAAATAAAATAAAAGAAAAAGAACCTACATAGCATGTTGATGTTGATACACAGAAATTAGATGCTGCTGTTATTAAACCAAAAACCAAGTTCAATTATGAAATAAATTCTAGATAAATGAAAATTTAGAATAATTAATTCATGACATACCACATCCTGCTCAGCCAATTGGGAAACAGCTTCAGACTTCAAAACCACACTAATAGGTTCAACTAGATTATATGGTTAAGTAATATCATACTGAGAAGTGAGAACCGCACAACATTCAGAAAAACAAATTACACAATCACAATCAATGCAGGTCAAAGCATTAATTGTGCAATATTGAAAAAATAACTGACACATAACATCAAGATGGAAACTTTCAACACATAAAACTGCAGCTTCTCATAATCAAATTGGTATCATGAGGCTGAGTCAGATAATAATATTGATGGGATTTCGTCAGTCTACCAATTCCATCCACCACAACAAAGATTCAAAACAAATTTCTCAATCCCTTCTTACTGTCCATTATCAAACTTAAAACATCATAAAGTTGATACAACCTGCAATCTCTACCCTTACATAAAACCAGAATTTTGGTCAATAACAGCAACCTATAAACATCATAAACCATCCCAAATTCAAAAGCATTCACCAAATTGCATACATTAAAGGCATAACACATAATCAGAACTGAAGCAAAGGATACGATTCTCGAGGGTCTTTTCACCGGCCATTATCGAAATATCAAACAATCTTCAGAAACCCAATTGACCTAAGAATTACCAAAAGGGTCATTAAAAAGAGTTGCAGTCTTTTTATAGAAGTACAACTTTGATTCCAATATATCAACGCTTATTTCCAATAAAGGAAAGGAAAATAATTAATACTATTACTATATTTATTATTTAATAAATGTTTTAAAATCAAATATATCAAATTTTATCAAATTTTTTTTTTTTAAAAGCGCATTAAAACGTGCCCAATTGAACGTTAGCACATAAAAATGGGTGTGAATGAAAGAGATTCGATTATTTTCTCATGAATAGAGTCAATAGACAGCAAAAGATTCCCCTTTTAGGTTAAAAAATATCTTCTTTATTTAAAATTTTAAAAATAATAAGTAAAATCAATTTTTTTAGACGATAAAAATTGAAACTATATATAGTTGATTCACGAGAAAAAAAAAAAAAGAAATCAAAGCTTGAGATATTTTGAGGGAAAATCGAATTTTGAATAACCTTTCAACTAGAAAACAAAACAATAGCAATTATTTTCAATTTTACCCCTAAGAAAGCATCGTTTTCCATCAATTATTTTCGTAAAATTTTAAAACATAACAGTTTTGCTAAAATAGAAAAATAAATATTAATTAAAATTTTGAAATTTTGCTTAAGTTTTTAAGGGGGAAAAAGAAGAATTGTTTCGAGAAGTTACAAAAGCAGAAACCGAAAGCAAATCTAAGAAGCGTGGATCGATACCTGCTGGAAAAGATCGAACCCGGTCTGGTGGATCGGGCACCCGCTAATAAACCCGACCTCGCTTGAAGAAAATCAGCGTGTTTTTCTTTTTTATTTGGACAGAGTGAAGTAGAAAAGGAAGTAAGAAAGAAGAAGACGTGATGACAGCGAAGCGCTTTTAAAAAGCAGATGAAAAGATTCCGTTATTTTTTCTTACGGTCAAGAGGGAATTGGAAAAAATTGGGTGGATGTGATTACTTCCTGGTTTTAGAAACAAGTATTTGTGACCGTTGGATTGGAGTCAAGTCAATGCCCAAAGTCACAAGGTAGGCTCCAAGTCCAAATGCCAATGTTTCGAGGATTGGAAGACTACTTTCTTTATGTCGGTGTGGTTGGCGGTGCGGTGCGATTCAACTTCTACTTTTTTTACTCTTTAGTTATATAATATTAAATTTAATTTTTATTACAAATTTGAAGTTTCATAAATTTTTAATAACAAAAAGTAAAAAAAAAAAATCATAAAAATAATTTTAGAATATAAAAAAATTTTAAGCATTCAAAAATATATATAACTTTGAAACATTAAAAAAAATGGACAAAAGGGAGTATTTTTAAATATAATTTAGATAACTTTTTATTTTTTAAATATAATTTAGATAATTTTTCTAAATGTTTTTATTCCACAAAATGTAGAAATACACCAAAATATATAAATTGAAGAGCTACTAAATTTAAAATACATTGCTAGTTATTAAGTTCGGACAAAGTTTGGGATACTTTCAACCATATTAACGAGAAAATAAACTACACTGTTAATGGGAAAAAAAAAGTAAAGCATATTAGAAAGGTAGGTGCTTTTAACAATGGGTCAATGGCCCATTCTCAAGTGAAAACAGCTCAACTGTGCAATCTGGCCCAATAGGAAAGAATGTAGGTTCTACTTGGTAGGATGGCCCGTTCAAAAAAAGTCTCAGCTCCTTGCCGGCTTGGACGAGTACACGAGAAACAATTGCTACATCAATTGCTAAAGTATTAATACATGAGAAACAATGTATTAATACAAATAAGATATAGGCTTTCACATCGGAAAGTTTGGGTACGTGGTTTATACGAGCTATGTGTTAATTTAAATAAATTGATTCTGAGTTAATAATATGTTTTATTTTTTAATCAAAATAATAAAATGTGATCGTACTATCATAAATTATAAACTTATAAAATGTGAAGTTTAGACGTTTCAAGTAAGTAAAGCCCATACATTACATTGGGTTGGCTTTTCACATCAAAAATTTTGAGTGTATGTAATTTATATAAGATTTTGCATTAACTCAAACCAACCGATTTTAAATTAATAATGTCTCTTATAAATAAGATTCAATACGTGATTTAACATTATATTATACAAAATATTAAAAACATTTATCTTCATTTTATTATAGAGTATTAATCTCATTCCTTTAGCTAAAGACCATATGTTTTTCACCAGGTTTTAAATAAAAAAATCTTCAAAGTTTGAGTTATTATTGCTGCTTGCTTGTATGCATATAATACTAATTTTTAATAAAATATATAGACACGAGTGCAATAATGATATACTATATATGTTTATATTGGCAGACACACATGCTGGCCAATTATTATTCTGCTTTGAGCTATAACCATGCACAAACAACAATTACGATTTCAAACATTTAGAGAAAAGAAAATTTTAATACAAGTAAAATATAAAACAAAATCAAATGTAGAATGTATACGTAGAATATAATACAAAAGGGGGTGTACATGCATGACCCCATGTGTTTCAACATTGCAAGCTCTCTCTTGCTATAGGGCACCCCTTAAAAAGGAAGTGCATCCATTGATCATTCCTAATTCTATATATTTTTGTCACCAAATCTCCTCCCATATTCCTAAATCTAAAGTGAAAATTTATGAGAAAAAAAAAAAAAGAAGATATAGACTTTGCAAATCATGAACACCAAATAAAATTGTAAAGTCGCAAAAAAAATTTCCAAGTTCCTTAAACTTGAATATCTCATTTATTTCTAGGGTAACTTTTTCTGATCTTGTTCAAGATTTTTGTGTTGATAGTGAAAGAGCGAAGAAGATGAAGATTGGTACTCAAGAGAGTGACGAGGGAACTCCCACAGCATTTGAACCACCTCCCTCATTGTGGGACGTTCAATGCTATTTTCTTGTCCACATAGCATTGCAATAAACAGTAAGTGCATTGCTTCATCTTTGGGCATGGTTGTTACCCTTGGATCAACTATGCCAATAACTTATTCTCTTCGACAATTTGTCACTCGTTTAGCCCAATGAACTATATCTACACCTTCGCCAAATTCGCCTACTGGTCGTCGGCCGGTGATTAGCTCTAAAAGGACTACTCCAAAGCTATAAACATCGCTTTTCTCGTCCAGTCTCAATGTGTATGCATATTCTGCAACCACAAAAAACCAAATTTTTAGCACTAATATCATATCACCGATGTTCAAATATGTTGTTATTGGTCACAATATTATTATGTTTTTTTTTTAGAAGAAGAAAGTTTGACAATACACCAAGTTAACTAACTTAACTAACGATCCGCATAACGACATGCATAATTTTTTTGGCCATCAATTAACTAAGCAAATAAATAGGGGAAGTTTTTTGTACATACCAGGAGCAATGTAGCCGTAGGATCCTGCAATAGCTGACATGCACTCTGATGCACCCCCGTCGACCAAGAATTTGGCCAATCCGAAATCAGCAACGTGTGCTTCGAAGCTTGAATTTAGCAAAATATTGTTTGATTTTACATCTCGATGAACGATTAAGGGTGAACAATCATGGCGAAGGTAGCACAGGCCTCTAGCTGCTTCAATTGCAATTTGTGCCCCAAGTTCCGTCCTAGGAATGCACCTTTTTTGCCATGTAACGCTTCTCCGAGACTCCCATTTCTCATGTACTCATAAACCAAGAGATTGGTCTCCTTGTTGGAGCAAAATGCAAGCAACCTGACAATGTTTCTGTGCCTGATGTTTCCTAGTGTCTCTATTTCTGCTCGAAAACCATGATCATGACTACTATTGCCAAAGCCAAGAAGTTTTTTTACTGCAATTTCCATACCATCAGGCATTTTCCCATGATACACAATCCCTGCGCCTCCTCTGCCAATCACATTCCCATCTTTAACGCATTCAAGGATGTTAGAAATTGTGAATTCGAGCTTTTGGAATGCTGTCATCTTCCAAGAATCCGAACCATTTTTCTTGAATGACTTGGCCTTGATTATGGCGGTAGCTGCAAATGTTAGAGAGCATATTAACAGTCCTAGTGCAAAGATCAGCTTAAAGTCCCCAGGGGCCTTTCTGGGGGTGCTTGTAATTGCAGTACTGAAATTGCAAGGATTGTTCAGGACAGAACCACAAAGTTGAGGATTGCCTGTAAAAGATGAAGCGTTAAAGACAGCAAATGGGCAGGATTCTGACAGCTTCCCAGAGAAATCATTGAAAGAGAAGTCGGCAACTGTGAGGCTTTTCATTGACCCAATGCTTCTGGGTATGGCTTGATTCAAATGGCTCCTCGATACTTTCAAGTAACTCAGGATATGCACGTTTGAAATCTCAGGTTGAATTGAGCCAGAAAGGTTATTCTGGCTCATATCGAGGTATGTGAGATGTAAACAGTTTCCAATTGCGGGTGGAATAATACCGGAAAGTGAATTTCTACTAAGATCAAGCTTCAGGACTTGCCTGAGTTCTCCAATAGAAGGTGGTATTGGACCTGAGAATTGGTTTCCACTAAGTAGAAGGATTTCAAGAGAAGAGAAGTTGGAAAGTAAACATGGCAATGGACCGGAAAGGAGATTGTTTGACAAATTAAGCTGGCCTAACTTAGCAGGTTTCGAGGAGCTATTACCATTTTCAGCCAATGTTCCCGACAAGTACTTGTTCTGCAACTCTGCTATGTTTAGCTCGGGCTAGTAGATGAAGCCATTTGGAATGCTACCATTCAAGAAATTTTGCCCCAACCTTACTCTAGTGAGACGATAACATCTCCCCAGGTCTTCAGGAATGGTCCCGAAAAGGAAATTTTTCATCAGAACTAATATCCTTAGCTGGTTAGAAGCACACAAGTTTCGAGGGATCGTACGGGTGAGCTTGTTGGAGGACAAATTGAGCAATTGCAGCTTCCCATTTCGACCAAGATTCTCGGGTATTACACCAGTAAAGTTGTTCATCCAAAGCCCTAGAGTTACCAAATTTGGCAAGTCGGCTACGTAGTCTGATATCGACCCGTGTAACCTGTTCATGAAGAGATTGAAAAGCCTAAGCTGCTTAAGATTGACGAACTCGGATGGGATTTTCTCCAGTGAGCGCATTGTGGGAGAGATCAAGATTCACCAAGCTTGTCAAGTTGCTTAACTGCTTAGGAATCGGACCTAAGAGTAGATTGATATGCAGATAGAGTATCAAGCAACTGCAAGTTTCCCAAACTCTGGAGGAATTGGACCATCCAATTCACAGCTTGAGAGATCCATGTGAGCTAAATTTACCAAATTACCTAATTCTATAGGGATACCACCTTCGAAAACATTATAATACCCAAATTAAATCTCTCTCAAGTTTTTGAGGTTGCCCAACTCATCAGGGATTTTTCCATTAAGATCATTTCCCGCCAGTGAAAGATACTCCAATCCCACTAGCGTGCCGTAGCTTGGAGGAATTTTGCCATAGAAATAATTGCCACCAAGATCCAAGTACCTGAGTTTCTTCAAGCCAAGAATCTCAACTGGCAGGAAAGCAGTGAAATTGTTGTTATAAGCATCAAATACTTCCAGGTTGGCGATACTAGCGTAGTTCCAATCCAGGTTACCATGGAACTGGTTGTTTGAAATGTTGAGAAATCGAATGTCACTCAAATTCACGATCTTAATTGTGCCAGTGAAGTTGTTGCCAGCGAGAGAGAGGTTGGTTAGCCTACCAAGCCTTGAAATCTGAGGTGAAACAGAGCCGCACATTTTCATATCTGTCAAGTCCAATGAAACAACTCGTCCTCGGGAGCATCCTATTCCGGCCCAAGAACAAACTGAACTCGGGTTCGAAGAACTCCATGAGCTTAAGAGGGGCTCAGGGAACTGAAACCCTTTCTTGAGAGTGACTAAGACATGAGAATCAGTAACTAACGAAGCAGAACAAAAGGTGCTTAGGAGAGAATAATGTCAAAACAATGAGAGGGACAATGTTTTACTGGAAAATATTTTTCAAGAGGATTGATCTGTTTGGAAGGACTTGTAGCAAAGACAAACCGATTTAA